TATTAGGTCCGACAACATACATGTATCTGTAAGGGGAAAGACCACATTGATAGACTTCGGATTAGCTACTTATCCTTGCAATGAGGAAAATAAGAGGTGCGATATTGAGGCTCTCGACCGGTTATTTTCAGATTATTTCAATGACAGTCACAGTGATAGGAGCCAAAATGAAGTCGAGAAATATAATACAGATGGAGTGGGATCTAGCGGAAATAGTTATGACAATAATCGTAACAATGGGTGCGATTATGATGTCCGTGAAGCTATTTTTGATGAGCTGATTATAGAATCTGACGATACCACGCAATATAGTACGGTAGATTTCAATTCGAAAGAATCATGATGATACAATCGAGTTATTCTGCATTAGTCAAAATTAATATACAAGGGGAAGATATAGGCGTTTTATTCGAATACCTCCTGTCTACACTTAGACAAATTTCATAGTTATAGAACCGAAATTGTAAATAGCATTGGGGGATACTTTTCTGCATTGGATGATATATTCCAATAGTTTTTAAGTATGCTCTCCTGCATTAAGGAATTCACAATATTTTATGACTGAATCGGCGTTATACAATTGTCCGAATACTGATATCAAAGTCTCAGATAATCATTAATTGATGCAAAGTCTAGTTTTGTCTTCTATTAAATTTTGTACTTTTTTATAGCAATTGCTAATTCAACAAAGTACTTGTAATAGCTCATCACTTGGTACTCTTAAACACGCTTCTACTGAATATTGCCTTAACAAAAGTTTGGGCAATACAATGGTTGAACTTTCAACAGAAGACTTGCTAGCAGTGAAAAGGTATTCTATTAACTATATATTTACGTAGGTTTTGTATCTCCTTTTTATTTGATCCTTCAGTTAAGTTAAACGAGTTACTTAATCTTATAAAACAGCTTAAACTGTAGTTCCATCAATTGGCCAAGTAGTTTGTTCCCCATAATTCCAGTGTACAGCTTTTGTCTGAGTGTATTCCTTTAAACCCTCAATACCCAATTCACGACCAAATCCAGATTGTTTCATACCTCCAAATGGGACTGCGTTACTTAAAGCCATATACTGATTGCACCAAACAGTTCCCCCACGGAGAGCATGGATCATACGCATACATTGGGAAGCATTTTGAGAAAACACACCTGCAGCAAGACCATATTCAGTATTGTTAGCCTTTTCAACAGCTTCTTCTTCAGTACTGAAGCTTTGAACAGTAAGAACAGGCCCGAAAATTTCTTCGTCTACAATCTTCATGCCTGGTTTACAATCAGTGAAGATTGTTGGAGCAACATAATAACCGTTCTTAAGTTGGGCTGGTAAGTGTGACAATCTTTGTTTTCCGCCAGAGAAAAGAGTGGCACCTTGTTCGGTACCTGATTTAATGAAGCATTGAATCTTTTCTTGTTGCTGTTTAGATACTTGTGGACCTTGGAATGTTTTGATATCAAATGGATCGCCAACGACATGTGATTCAAAATTCTTTTTAAGTTTTGCTAAGAATTCATCCTTAATAGTATCTTGGAGGAATAAACGTGAACCAGCACAACAATCTTGGCCATGGTTAAAGAGAATACCTTGACTGACCCAGTTTACAGCTTGGTCAATGTCAGCATTGTCGAAGACAACTACTGGTGATTTACCTCCAAGCTCAAGTGTTACTTTTTTGAGATTACTTTTAGCAGCAGCTTCCATGATAGTACGACCTGTGACGGTAGAGCCAGTGAAGGCAACTTTATCAATATCCATATGAGATGAAATAGCTTTACCAGCAACAGCACCTACACCATTAACAATGTTAATAACACCAGGAGGAAAACCAGCTTCAACAGCTAACTCAGCTAAGATAAGAGCACTTAAAGGAGTCTGTTCAGCAGGCTTCATCACAATAGTGTTACCAGCTGCTAAAGCAGGACCTACCTTCCAAGAAAACATTTGAATCGGATAATTCCATGGGATAATCTGGCCACAGACACCAATTGGTTCTGCCCTAGTAAAAGCTAATTTTACACCTTCTTCTTGCTCGATAGTGCGGCCTTCAATTTTATCAGCAAGACCAGCATAATAACGAAGGCACGCGATACTATCCTTAATGTCGACATCGCGAGCCATCCATACCGGCTTACCATTATCAAGACTTTCAAGTTCAGCAAGAGTGTCGATATTGGCATCTATCAAGTCTGCCCATTTATGAAGGGCATCACTACGTTGCGATGGAGTACTTTTCTTACCCCAAGTAGTTTCAAAAGCTTTTCTAGCAGCTTTAACCGCATCGTCGACGTCGTCAGCAGTGGCAGAACTAATAGTGGCCAATGGCTCGCCAGTGGCAGGATTTGGAGTTGTCAATTCATTTCCATTCTTTGCTGGTCTAAATTCATTGTTGATGAATAAACCTGTCTTGAAAGAAATACTGCTACCCGAAGGAGTTTTAAGTGTGACTGACATTATAATTAGAGTGAAAACTAGAAAGTAACAATTAAACAAAAATTAACTATTACATATTTATATGCTACGCATTTTTCATAGTGGTACTGTGTGGGGTCTATGGACACATAACTCTTTGGCTTCAGCAATGTTCAGTTGATCTCGTATATTTCTCGGGGACACACCGAGACTTCAAAATCATTACCACATCGGAAAGTCTCCGAAAAATATCAGGCTAACAATTTTTCAGGATCAGACTGCTTGAAGCCGATACTGTGGAAACGTTCCGTGAAGATAAGTTCCCCATCCCCGTACTTCCTTCTCAGTTTTTTCCTTATAGATAAGCTGTTAGAATTTAATTTGACTTCATTTCAATTTATTTTCAAAGTTTTAACTAACCTGTTTTATTGAAAGAATGAATCGTGCTACTAGTTACGACGATAAGGTCCATTGCATTGCTGATCTCGAATATGAGGCTAATAAAAAGCTTGCACCTATGGTCCGCGACTTCTATAATGGAGGATCAATGGATCTTAATACTCTTAAAGAAAATAAATCTGCGTATGACCGTTACCGTTTAAGACCAAGGGTAATGGTAGACGTCACTGAAGTTGACACTAGCACTGCTTGTTTAGGATCTAATGTTGCATTTCCGTTGGGGTTCTCTCACTCTGCTAACCATGGTTTAGCTCATCCGGATGCTGAACGAGGAACCTCTAGAGCTGCTGCAAAAAAGAGAATTAACATGGTACTTTCAAGCTGGTCTAATACATCACCAAAAGTGGTTGCTGAACAGGGTAGAGATGCTGAAATCTCATATGCGCAACAATTGAGTGCGGTTAAAGACGAAGAGACAAATATGTCAATTATCCGTAATGCTGAAGAGACAGGCTACAAAGCTATTTTCTTGAGTGTAGATTGTCCATGGTTAGGCAGAAGGCTTAATGAGATGAAAAATACTTTTGCTTTACCATCACATTGTACTTTTCCATGCTATCCATTTATTAATGGGGACAATATGGTGAGTGGTGATAATCGTACCCAATATGAAACCAACCTCACTTGGTCTTATATTCAAGACTTGAAGAAGAAAACCAAATTGCAAATTTGGCTTAAAGGAATCCTTACCGCAGAAGACGCAGAATTGGCTATTAATGCTGGAGCAGATGGTATTGTTGTATCAAATCACGGTGGAAGACAACTTGATGGAGCGTTGTCCACTTTAGATGCCTTGCCAGATGTCGTTGCAGCAGTTAATGGAAGAATCCCAGTTCACATTGATGGAGGTATTAGAAGGGGAAGTGATATTTTTAAAGCTCTTGCCTTAGGTGCTGATCATTGCTGGGTTGGGCGTATTGCACTTTGGGGCCTTGCTTACAAGGGAGAAGAAGGTGTTTCTATCGCATTGAATATTTTGCATGATGAATTCCGTTTAGTCATGGCGCTAATGGGTTGCATTTCTGTCAAGGATATCAAACCAGAGCATCTCGCTAGGATGTCTGAAGATGGTAGATTCCACAAGCTCACTCGTACGGTTGAGGCTAAATTGTAAGCTGTGAGAACCATAGAAATAATGAGAAGATAGATATTATAGGTAATCCACTTTAGTTAGCCTTATGCCGATGTATTTATTATTATTTTTAGTTTCACCCTGTTCTAAGCTGCAAATGATCTCTATTTGGGCATATAGACAATGAGCATAAGACCCAAAGTTATATTAGACTGCTCCAACCACTACTATATAATACACAGTTACAAACTAATTATGATAGAAAAGAGAAAAGTTACTAGTGGATTCTAGTGATAATTGTTGCAGATATTATATAAGTATTGATCAATTGATTGTAATATAAAAGAATTTGCATTTAAACCGTCTGCAATATTTTGTTAAAGCGGTAATATCTACATAAAGTATTTTATTCTAAAGCAATCTCATTTACTTAAACACCTATATTGGTTGCTTATATAAAAATTATTTGTACTTTCTCTTTTCAAGAATCCTGGTGAATTTTGCAATTTCTTCTTTCTCTAATGGAAGAGTTGGAAGTCTAACAGGCCCGGCAGATTGACCGATAATATCAAGGCCTGCCTTAATACCAGCTGGATAGTTCACACTCTCCAAGAAATCGCTGACTTCCCAGAGAAATTTCCATTGTTCCCTAGCCTTGTCAAGGTTCTTTTCTTTTGTAAAAGTATTCCAAAGTTCGACACATTCCTTTGGAACAACAGATGCGGCTCCCCAAACACCAGCTTGTGCCCCGTGGGACATAGCAAAAAAGGTTAAAGTGTCCCATCCATTGAATGCAGTAATCTTATCAGAAGGATTCGTAAGAAGATCAGCAAGCTCCTTAGCGTTACCAGAAGTATCCTTCATATAATCAAATCCCTTGATTTCTCCAAGTTCTCTAAGTTTGTTCGCAGTAAGATGAACACCAGTAGCTCCTGGTAAGTTATAGTACATGACAGGAATTTTGATAGATCCACAAACATCTTCATAAAATTTGTAAAGTGCCTTGAAAGAAAGAGGATCGTAGAATGGAGGAACAAGCATAATGGCTGCAGCACCCACGCTTTCGGAGAATTGTGCCATTTCAATAGCATGTTGAGTGCTGTTACTACCGAGACCAGCGATAACTGGAAATCTTCCCTTAGCAGCATCAACGTAAGCTTTGATAACACTCTTGTGTTCTTCAGTAGTAAGAGCTGGGAATTCACCAGTAGTTCCAGTGGTTACGACACCATGAATTCCGGCATCAGCAAACCTGTCGACCTGTTTAGCAATATTTGTAATATCAATCTCTTTAGCATCAGCAGTGAGAGGAGATGGGACAGCAGCAAAAATACCTTGAATTTTAGTCATTATTGTATATGGTATTATTGTATATTTAGTATAAGTTATTAGAACTAAGAAAAGCATCCGATAAGGTTCCTTTTAAAGTCTCATTCAGTTTCCATCTTAACGGAAAAATTCCGATAGCATCTATACTCCATCGGAAAACTTAGGAAAATGTCCGATGTTTATCAGAACAATCCGAAAAATACCGGGGAAATTCTTTATCAGCCTTGCGCATACTAACCAAAATACGGCCTTATCATTACATCATATAGTCAGAAATGGCATATGTCCGAGTCTTAGGTGATTCGGAAAATTTCCGACGATCTCCGAAAATTTGGATAGTTAGAAGAGGGGTGAATATGTCATTGATTGAGCCAATAGATTCATTGACTAATAAAAATAATCACCGTAAATCATTAATGGTAATGCTATCATCGGATTTTTTGCGAAGCTTTAAAATAACAACATAGATTAGATAATTGTAATGCACTAGAGGCATTCCCCAGTTCAACGAGATAAGAACCAGATTTAGCGGGGAGATAAATGGAAAGAGATAAAACGAACTTAAACCCCTAGAATATTGTCATAGTTTTATTACCGGTTTATACATCATGTCACAATTCGAATCGGACAAAAAAATGAAAGCTCATATAACCATTAAGTCAGAGGCTAGTACTGAAGAGAACCTCGAAAATGGAACCATATTTGAAGATGAGGACCATAACGTTTTCGTTGATAATGGCGAGGGCCCAGATTTCAGAGGTGTTTCTTGTCTCGGTGCCGCAGTTTTGATCGCGAAAACGCAATTTGGTTTAGGAGTACTTGGTTTACCTATGACTTTTCAAGTTTTGGGATTCGTGCCTGGTTTGATAAGTCTTATTGGCTTATGCGCTATAAGTACATGGACGGGGTATGTTATCGGTAGATTCCGTCTTTCACACCCACAAGTTCATAGTATAGGAGACGCAGCTTATCTTATGTTTGGCAAGTATGCTCGTGAAGTAATGGGATTTGCATTTTGGCTATTCTACACGCTTTGTTACGGTTCTTCTTTGCTTACTGTTTCTATTGCCTTCAATACTTTTACAGGTCATGCCATTTGTACTACGGCTTGGATTGGCATTGGTGCTGTCATAGCTCTCATCCTTGGGCTTTTTACACGTACCATGAAAGTTTTATCATGGTGTGGTTATATTGCTGTAATATCTATTTTCTGTGGTGCTTGGATCGTGGCTATTGCTTGTTTAACTCAAACTACCCCTTCCGCAGCACCCAAGTCAGGACCAGTTGATAAAATGGTACAAGCAGTTGCAACTGGTGTATCTTATTCAGCTATCTCTGGCGCTATCGCTACACAACTCATAAGCCTTTGTGGTACTGCTTCATTTTTTTCAATTCACGCTGAAATGAAGGACCAAACCAAGTATACTAAATCCCTTTTCATGGGTCAAGGGTTTGTTGTTTTTAACTATGTGGTTATCAGTTGCATTGTTTATGGAAAAGTTGGGCAGTATGTTGCATCGCCATCCCTTGGATCTGCTGGTATGTTGATACAAAAAGTCGCATACGGGGTTTCATTTCCAGGGCTTCTCTTCTCGTGCTTTTTTCAAGCTCATCTTGCTGCGAAATACACACTTGTTCGTCTTTTAAGAGGTTCTCAACATTTACAAAGCAATTCTAAAACCCATTGGATAACATGGATTACTATGATGGTTTTAGTTATTGGTGTCGGATTGGTTATAGCTGGATCTATTCCTTTCTTTGATGATTTATTAGGATTGATTGGTGCTCTTCTTGGTACAAGTTTTACTCTTATAATACCCGCCTTCATGGCCTTATACGAATTGGCTGTGGAATCCTATGAACCAAAAGATATTGGTTTAACCTGGTTGAAAAAATCCCAAAGGGTGTGGGGAAATAGTAGAAAAAACATTATAATTGTGTCTGTGGCACTTTTCACAATTGTTGCCGGTGTTTATATCTGTATCTCAGGTGTGTATGGTTCTATTACAAGCATTGCACAAGCTTATGCTGATGGCACTGTTTCAGGTGCATTCTCATGTGCAGATAATAGTAGCTGAGATAATGAAAGAATCCATATGTAAATATTATATTGATTTGTATTTTGATCCGTGTAGACGTTTAAGTATTCTATATAATACACACTCAAGAAACTGATTCATATTGAGCCACTCTAACCAATATTCACTTTGGTCCATGTAACATACCTTGTTTTGTCCTATAAAATAGTTTACCAAATATGTTTAATAGCATTCTTTGTATGTACTTAGGAGTTTGAAAATTTTAATTTGTATCATATCATAGACTGAATTGCTCACTTGCTTCAGGTAAAGGATAAAGGAACCAACGCTCTAATTCAGCACCTAAATTAGCTTCAGACCAATCAGAAAACGTACCTATATCACGAATTGGTTCGGCCTCCGCAGCAACATTAGAAATTGCAGCCAATCTTTCCAAACTAGGATCCTCATGTGCGGCCATGGGTGGCATAGATCCATCGGAATTTGTCTCGTAATTTTTTTGATTGCCTAGAGCTTGAATCCTATCATTTGATGAACGCCCTATATGAGATGAAGACTCCAAATTATGATGTGGTCGGTACCCTTTCATAACTGTATATAAATCTGTATTTAATGGTAAACCAAGCATACCGTTACTTGTAGATGCATCAATATCATGTTCAGAAAAATGCTCATCATCATAGCTATTAGAGCTTTTCCAGCCTTGTATATCTGTTTCTTGAAGAATAATCGAATATTCTAGAACAGGAACAGAATAACCTTCAATTTGTGTCGGCCTCGATAACGAAATGTTATCTAATTTTGCAATTTGGCTCCAGATACATTCTTCGTGACCAGATTGTTGTGGTAAAGAGGGAGCGATACTAGTGATATTTTGAAGAACGTTTGAAGAGATCATTTCAAAAGCATTCCTTATTCGTTCGTTCGCCCCTGCTTCTAATGCTGACAACGTTTCAAGCATTGCAGTACAAGACTGTATCTGTAGAAAAATCTCGATAAAGGATACACATAATTGATGAGAAGTTTGCCGTTCAGCAAGTTCTTTCAATGAGTTAATGAATGTTAATCCACACATAAAAAGGTTTTGTACTGTGAGCCATGAAAACACTGCAGAACATTCTCTATGCATAACTTTGACTAATTTCATGACCTCCCCCCCAGAGTGGAAAGCAACATGTAGTGCTTCATCAGATAGCTTTGAACGATTAGGCGAAGGGCGGAAAAGTAAAACTACAGCAATATGAAATTGCAACTCTGTCCACTCCTTAGTTATTAATGGCGTAGGATAGGAAAAGCTACTACGCCAAAGCCTAAGTTGATCATACATCTGCCAAGTCCAGGTAGTCATATCTCTTTGAGGTAACTTGTTGTGATTTGCATGCGCGTATAAACGCTTGTGAATCTCTGATTGTAGTCGATATATACGAATCTGCTGAATTTGGGCAACTTTTAGGTGACAGATAGGACCTCGCTCTACTCCATGTACAGTTATTAGCTTATCCTCAACCAAAGCTGGGCATCTTGCAGATATCCAAGTATCAGGTATTCCAGTAGGTCTTCCCATTACCGTAGCGAGAATACGATCAATACAGTAGCAAGTCCAGAATATGCGTCGGCGAAGGTCCATACTGAGAGGGTCAAAATCTTGGGATGGATTGGGCTCAGCGTAAAGTCCCATTTCAGTTGCAAATCTCATAGCTGAACCCGAAAGCTGCCACAAATTTCCAGCCTTGGGAACCAAAAGAGTGTACTGCAATAATAGTAATATATTTTGAAGCTTTTTAATTCCACCACCAAATAGTACTCGACCACGAATCTTTGTCGCCGATTTCCAGAAATCATTTGCAATTCGTCCAATCTCAGAAATCGACAGATGTGGTCGACCTATTGATGCAAGAGAAATGGCTATGACCATATTTACCTGAAAACGGTCTATTAATGAAGCTTCTTTGGGTCTGTTTCGGCATTTCTCTAGTTGGAGATGAAACATACACTCATGTAATACGGGGTGGGCACTGTTCATCCATGTAAAATATCGCTTTGCCAATCTAACGAGGATATTATAATCGTACGCTGTAATATCAGTAATCCTATTTTTAGAGTTATTCCGACGTCCTTGTTTCATGAAATCCCGCCCTAGCTTAGCAATAGCCATATTTTCCTTTTCGATAAATATTTCTCTAGCACTTTGTCGAGAAGAAGGGCTAGAATATTGCCGGATCTGGCTATCAAGGTCATCACTGACATGTGTTGCAGGCCCTCCAGAAAAAGTTGTGGCAAGTAATGTATCCATCGTGCTTTGGGCAGTACCTTCGTCTTCATCATTCAAAGAAGATGATGAGAGATCACTGAGTGATACTGATGGGCTTGAACACAGTTGAGTTTGGGAGAGTGATGGAGTTCCAATGGTTCCTGGGAATGATGATTGGGCCTTTGAAGTGTCTTGATCTCGGTTATTTGATAATCTAGCTCGTTTATGTCTATCCTGTCCAGCTTCTGACTGGTGCTCAAACGATATCTGATTACCTTCAAACGTTCGAATTCGTTCCTCTAAAGAACAAACACAGCTTCTTGTTACAGCTCTACCCAAAACTTTATCTTTATTCATACATTCAACCCCAGCCTTCACACAATTGGAGCACGATGGAAGCTGTGAATCACACTTAGTCTTCCTGATACGACACCTTTCACAAGCCGGAAGCCGTCGTCCATTATTTCTGTTCTCTTCAACCATTACTATGAAAGATTAGCACACGTCAAGAAAGTAATCGGCTTGTTTTAAGAAAAAGGTTTATGGTTAACAAAGTCGTAGATATGAAAATTAGAATATTGTACAACTCCAACTTTCGCGATCGTGGAGTTGCGGGACTCATCTCCCATATTTTCGGTCCAACGTAAGACTAAAAACGATATGACCATATTTCAAAAGGCTATATATTCCCCTATAACCTAGAAAATTATATAGGAATAGTCATGCGAAACCTTGTCCTGGGTAATAAAAGATAGAATCTCAAACATAGTTTGGAAAATAGGGTAGCCAATTCCTGACCAATATCTTAATTTCGGAAGTTAGTGACAAATATATTTTGTACTCTTACAGCTGTATTATTATCTTGTCATTACTTCCCTGCACAATTGTCACATTTATAAGTGAGTGTTAAGCCATATGTGTCCTAACTATAATATGTCTTCGAATAGAGATCATGTTCTGCGGTTTCTATGATTTCAGCGGGTACGCCTAAGGATTGATGTATCTAGAAACTACGGGTTTGAATAGCGGTTCTTGTTTGCTCGAGAATAGTTTAGATATGCTCGATTTGGCTTTTACATCCTTCGTAAACGTTAAAGGTATGTTTTTGCTTTACGGCAGCTTTAACAACCTAAGGAATTTGAAAAGATAGCCTGTTAATTGCACAAACATCAACTCCAAAAATAATTGGTAGTGAAATAATAACAATTTGAATATATTGATGATATTGTGATTCGTGTATCCAATTAATCTCACCTATATCTGTAATATTTGAAAATTTTGCCTGGTGTCGTTCATTGAGTATTTTAGGGACCACGCCTTAAACGACGTCAAAAAAAAAAGTAACAAATACTTCATTTCGAAGTGGTTTAACGATTGTTTCTAACTGCGAAGACATCGTCGAAGAGAGAAAAGCTGTATTTAATATTTACATCCTACAATATCCTAGACCACTATGTAATTTACGTAGTTCATAAATAAATCTTCCAAACGAGCTTTGCAAAGTAAAAAAGGTCGCTCTGCATCTATCGTAGTCCGAGAAGTCTCAGAACATAGCTCCAAGAAGAACATTAGATGATTTCTAGTCCGACTTGAAAATATTACTCAGCGGATACGGAATGTAAGATGAGTTCCGATGCAGTATCACCAAATCTGCATATGTATATACTCATATGTATATAAAAGCAGCTTCTGAATTCAATTGAAAGGAGCTTCAATACGAAAAATAAAAATGAAAAGCGTTTTATTAATAGGTTTGAGTTCAGAAAATCATCCAAATGAATTGAACAAAGACCCCAACAATGTTCAATATGCAAGTAATGCCTCATGGGCTGCAATATCCCATTATCCAGCGTTGCAGCAATTGAAGAATAAATATATTCTTAGTGGATTATTGAACTCAAGTGAAGAGAGAGGCAAAAAGATTGCAAATATTCTAGAACACTCAGACCCTAATTTAAAAATTTATCGTTCAGAAGAAGAAGTGATTCAGGATTACAAGAATATTGATATCGCAGTTGTCAGTGTTAATGTACGCTATCATTTTAAAACTATCATGAATTTAATAGAATCTCCCATGTTAATATATTGTGAGTGGCCTTTAGCAAAGTCTTTAAATGAGTCTGAAACAATTTTGTCTTCGAGGAAGAATCATGCTAAGTCAACTATTGTGGGTCTTCAATCTAGAAAAGCTCCTCAGATTTTAATGGCTAAACGTCTTATTGAGTCTGGCGCGTTAGGAAGAGTTCTTAGAACAAGGGCTTCAGGTTATTGTGGTACTATCTTTAGTGGTCAGATTCTTGAGGGTAATGAAGATTTTTATTTAAATCCAGAGAATGGTCATACTCTTTTCAGTATACCTTTCGCTCACTTGTTTGATGCTATTATGTATACCCTTGGGTCATATCCCAAGAAACTTTTTGCTGAAGTTATAAATCGGAATCCTGAGTATGTTGTCGTTAATAAAGAAGGGGTTCCCACAGGGAAAGTAAAGAAAAATGAAAGTCCAAATGACGTACTTATTGCAGGTACATTTGAAAATAATGTCACTGTATCTGTGAATGCCATTCCGGGTGGTCCGATTTTTGAAGAATTGCCTGGTCTAAGATGGGAGATTTTTGGGACCGAAGGGTACATTCTAATTGAATCGCAATCATGTTTTGTGGAATTGGATAAACTAACTCTAAAATATTTTGATCAGAATGGGAATATGACATCTTCCGATATGAAAGACTACAATCCTTTTGCACAAAATGTGGCGCAAATGTACGAAGCGATTGAACCAAACCAAGAGGTACAAAGGTTCGCAGTATCCGGAGTACCAACTTTTAAAGATGCAGTAGTTTTGCACAGAATCCTTGATAAGATCATGTTATCTTCAACTGAAGGTGAGGTTGTGAATTTCACAGAAGATGATTTTTACAAATTCTAAACAGATTGGCCTCTGGATTAATGGGCCGAGAATTGAAGCGTTTATCTCTTCTATATCTGAGTATTCTTATATTTAGTATAAAACTCTACTATTACATTGCAATTGAGTGCAATCAGTTCGTTCAACCCTATTTGCAAGTATATTTTAGCTAAAAGAAATATATTTTTCATCTCACCAAAACTTCTTGAAAAGTGGATATTTTCAGAATGCCATGAGCAAAAATCAAAGAGACTTCATAATAACAAGCTTGCTCTATATTGGTTTTGCATCAAGTAACAGCTTGTGACGGATAACGGACAAATACAACTACTTTATGGACTATTTGTTCATAACCCAAAGTTGAGTGTGCGCACTTTTGTATATTTCGAAATTGAGGGTCGTAATAGAAATATACTTGGCCGAACTAAAGGAACTATACAATGTTTGAATTCATTCGTAGAGGGAGCTTATTAGTAGAATTATGGGAACTTATTCTGCTGCGTTTTGATTGTGATAGGTTGCTTTCTGCTGTTTTAGGCCTATGTAGCTTTTGGTTCAGTTAGTATTTTTATAACCTATATATTTTATCCAGCCACACTAACAGTGTTTTATCTGTTATTGTAGCCAGTATTCGCTTCGGTTATCAAAAAAGAAATATACACACTTTTCTTAATTATGTTTTAAATATGCCACTGTTAGACGTATCGAATGATACTTCTTTATCAGGCGGTACATAAACGGCATTATCATTACCTTCAGAAAATTCTGAAAGTATGACCAATAATTTTAAAATCTTGATAAACTACATTGTCAGAAAAAAAACATATTCAAGACTCACATACAAGGTTGATGCTGATTAATTTCTTTTCTACCTCTTGCTATAATCCTTCTTAAAAAAAAACTCTTTTCATTCTCTAAAACTAATTCTCAGGCACGCCATATTGGTATATTTTGCAGCAAATCAATGCGTTATGAGCAATGCTCAATTATACCTATTTTGACTTATCTGGTTCACGCTCCAATCGCTAAAATGCTCACGATCACTGCTTATCACTCAATACAAAACAATATATTAACTATATCTAAGTATTCCATAGGATACAAACAAACGAAATACAAAAATTATCCTCGATTGTAAAACTATAGGCAATATAATTATTTGTGTCTTCTCTTTTCATGAATTCTGCTGAATCTACTGACTTCCTCCTTCTCCAATGGGAGAGATGGGAGTCTGACAGGCCCGGAAGATTGTCCAATAATATCAAGGCCTGCCTTAATACCAGCTGGATGGTTAACATTCTCTAAAAAATCGCTGACTTCCCAGAGGAATTTCCATTGTTCCCTAGCCTTATCAAGACCTTTGCCATTTGTAAAAGTGTTCCAAAGCTCAACACACTCCTTTGGTACAAGAGATACAGCACCCCAGATAGCAGCACAAGCATTGTGGGACATTGCCATGTAGGTTAAAGTGTCCCATCCATTGAAAGCGACGACTTTATCAGAAGGAGCCCCTTAGCATTACCAGAAGTATCCTTAATATAATCTAAACCTCTGATATCACCAAGTTTTCTAAGTTGCATTGCGTTAAGATGAACACCAGTAGCACCTGGAAAGTTATAATACATGACGGGAATTGAGATAGATTCACAAACATCTTCATAAAATTTGTAAAGTGCCTTGAAAGAAAGGGGGTCATGGAATGGAGGGACTATCATAACAGCTGCAGCACCGGCATTTTCAGAGAATTGAGCCATTTCAATAGCATGTTGAGTGATATTACTTCCAATACCAGCGACAACTGAGAATCTTCCTTTAGGAGCATCAATGTAAGCTTTGATGACAATTTTGTGTTCTTCAGAAGCGAGGGATGGCAATTCGCCAGTGGTACCGGTAGTTACAATACGGTGAATTCCAGCATCAGCCAACCTTTCAACTTGCTTTGAAATATTTGGAATATCAATCTCTACGCATCAGCCGTGAGAGGAGTTGGGACAGCAGCAATAACACCTTCAAGATTGTTAGTCATTTCTATAATTATGATATAAGTTAATAAAAACGATATTACAGCCAAAACTCATCTCTTTTAAGTTCCAACTAATCTGAAATCATTCTACCTTACGGATGTTTACCGGTGGGGTACGTTGACATCGGAGGGTTCCGATAAATATATGACAAATTTCGGTACGCACCGCTATCAACCCCACGAAAATCAATAAGCACAATCATCGAAGATATGCAAAATTAAATTACTTTATCGTACAACGATATTTACAAAAAATATAGAGAAACGCAATCAAAGAGATAGAAAGGGGGTATAGCGGGGAGGTAAACGTAAGGAGATAAAAGGAAGATAAAAACAAGATATAACGAACATAAAATGTCAATGAATTATCGTAGTTACATGAAGTATTTATGCAAAATGTCACGATTCGAATCAAAAGAAAAAATGTTCAAGAGTAATATAACCATTAAATCAGGGGACTGTATTGACGATAATCTTGAAAATGGTAATATTTTTGAAGAAGAAGATCATAATGTTTTTGTCAATAATGAAGGTGGTCCAGATTTCAGAGGTGTTTCTTGTCTCGGAGCAGCAGTGTTAATCGCTAAGATGCAGTTTGGGCTAGGTGTGCTTGGTTTGCCTCAAACATTCGTCGTTTTGGGATTTATCCCAGGGTTAATAAGTCTTATCGTTTTATGTGCCCTAACCACCTGGACAGGTATTGTTATAGGCAAATTTCGCCTTTCTCACCCAGAAGTTTACAGTATTGGAGATGCTACACATCTTATGTTTGGAAAATATGCTGGCGAAGTAATGGGGTTTGCATTATGGCTCTATTTTATGCTTGCTTCTGGTGCTGCCTTACTTACTGTATCGATTGCCTTCAATTCAGTTAGTAACCGTGCTATTTGCACAATGGCCTGGGTCGGTGTTGGAGCCGTCATATGCCTTATTTTGGGACTTGTTACACGTACCATGAAAGCTTTATCATGGTGTGGTTATATTGCTGTGGTATCCGTTTTCATTGGTACTTGGACTGTTGCAATTGCTTGCTTAACCCAAAGTACACCTTCTGCAGCTCTAGAGTCGTCGGGGCCTATTGACAAGATGGTCGAAGTTGCTTCAGAAGGCAAGTCTTACGCAGCCATTGCTGCTGCCATTGGAACTCAAATGTTAAGTCTTTGTGGTTCTGCTTCTTTTTTTACAATTCATGCTGAAATGAGGGATCAGGCCCAGTATACTAAATCACTTTACTTAGGCCAAGGCTTTGTTACACTCAATTATATCGCTATCAGCTGTATTGTTTATGGAAAAGTTGGGCAATATGTTACATCACCCGCACTTGGATCAGCTGGTATGTTAATACAAAAAATTGCATATGGTATTTCATTTCCAGCACTTTTCTTTGCATGTTTTTCCCAAGCTCATATTTCTGCAAAATACGCACTTGTTCGTATTTTGAGAGGTTCCGAACATTTACAAAGTAATTCTAAAACTCATTGGCTAACTTGGATAGGGACAATGAGTCTGGCAATTGGAATCGGACTAATAGTAGCTGGAGGCATTCCATTCTTTGGTGATTTATTGGGATTAATTGGCTCTCTTTTTGGTACAAGTTTTACTCTTATATTTCCTGGATTTATGTCTCTATATGAATTGGGTATAAGTTCCTATCATCCTGCTGATAGTAGGCTAGCATGGTTAAAAAAATCACAAAAATTTTGGGGAAGTAGCAGAAAAGCTATTATCACTACAGCTGTGTCTTTTTTTGCAATCTCTTGTGGCATTTATATTTGTGTCTCAGGAGTTTATGGTTCCATCGTAAATATTGCTCAAGGTTATGCGGACGGAACTGTTTCAGGCGCTTTTTCTTGTGAGGATAATAGTAGATAGACAGGTGCTTGCGATGTCGAGTTCAGGTTTCTTTATCAATTATATTTAGTATAATAATTATTATTTCGTGTTAAATTCATGTAGACGATTAAGAATATTAACTAGCAAGTTTAGGTTTATCTCAAAATGCGTTAATCATCGAATCCTTCAGGACTAATCATATGGACTAAATTTGAATTTTGTAAAGAAGAAACTTTTAAAAATCTTGCTGCAACTAAGTATCAAAGATGTATATATTTGACGCTAAATTCTTCCACGGTTTCAACTAGCGAATTATTTTATACTTTTAAAGAAAGACTTATCACCTATATCTAAAGTTATAAAATCAAACAAAACTGATAGAGGAACTAAGAAAATGGTCTTTCAGGAACAAGATTCTAAATTGTGAAAATAAATTTAATTTCTATTCTTGTACAAGATTCGAATATATATTGTATTTGATTAAAAGGACTTAAGTTCAGATTGGAGTACTGTTCAGGGCAATCTATTGAAGTAAAAGAATTAACATCAGAATGAAATATACCTTGTTTTGCCATAGGAATTTTAAAATAAACCTGCACAATTTTTTTTTTGGCGGTATTATCCCGAACCGAGATCCTAGGAAACGGAGGTTTACCGAGATTTGATATCAGGTAACAATTAGCTGAACTATAAAATGCAAAAGTTAATGACAGGAGAGAAGATTTGCAGGTCTCCAATATATAAGATGGAGAATAATTCCTTCCGGTCATAAAGTTGCAATTATGTATATGACAATGTTTAAAAGAGTAACTAAAATTGCTAAAAACAAGCCTTACAGGAAATTCAGCTATGGAAGCTTATTCAATTTGAGAAAATTTACTGCAACAAGGAGCCAAGACTCAAGTAGTGGTAAAAATAATTTATCACAATGGGCATCTATTTATAATGATAAAGAAAAAGCGTTTAAGCATAGTGCTCTGTTCATTATTCTGTTTGCATCAGCAGCTTCGTTGTACTATTTGTATTTAAAGCGATATGATTCCGTGAAGTGTGACACAAAGGTATTTATTCCAGTAACCGAAGTGATGAAACATAATAAGGCAGACGACTGTTGGATTGCTATTGAAGGAGGAGTATTTGATGTAACTAACTTCTTAAAATTCCATCCTGGGGGAACCGAGAGAATCTTGAAATATGCTGGTGGTGACGCTACTTTACAGTTTTCTCAGATGCATTCAAAAAAAGTTTTAGATAGAATGATGCCTTATATAGATCATCTTGGCACATTAGATGGAAAGTTCCAGGATGTTATTACTGAAGAGACGCTTAGGATACAAAAAAATATGAAGAATAAACCTGGTTTACATGCCATTTTCAACTCGTCAGACTTCGAATACGTTGCAAAGCAAGTTCTTCCAATGTCAACATATTATTACTATTCAACTGGTGCTTCCGATGAATTTACTTTAAGAGAGAATCATTATGCTTATAGTAGGGTATATTTCAGACCTAAAATTCTTCAAGATATTGGTCCACCGGATAGTAGAACTACTCTATTAGGAAATGAAGTTGACCTTCCGATATACATTAGTGCTTTTGCTGGATCTAAATATGCCCATCCTCTAGGTGAAAGAAACCTACAAAGAGCCGCTTATAATACTAATATAATGCAAATGGTTCCTAAGTTATTGTCTTATTCTTTGGATGATTTTTTCGGTGAAGTGCCACAAGATCAAAAGCAATGGTTTCAAGTACATTTTGATTGCCAGGAACAATTAGACAAGAGCATTGAGACAGTCAAACAAATCGAATCCTTCACAAATATAAAAGGATTGTTCATAAATGTCGACTTAGCTGACTTGGGTAACCGAGAGAAAGATTCAAAAAAAAGAGTAGAGGATGAAGTTAGTGCAGCAGAATTAACTAGTGTAGCCGATAATGGAAAAGCGCAATACCCCAGAACTTTTTGTTGGAAAGATATCGAAAAGATAAGAAGTGCGACTAATTTACCTATTGCATTGAAAGGTATTCAAAGAGGAGAAGATGTACTAATCGCTGTTGAAAAAGGTATCAAAGGTGTTGTCATTTCTAATCATGGAGGACGACAGTTGGATTATTCCAGACCCCCCTTAGAAGTTTTAGCTGAAGCACGCCTGATGTTGAAGGAAAAGAATTTGCAAGATGAGATAGAGATTTATGTTGATGGAGGTATTCGTAGAGGGTCGGATATTGTCAAAGCACTTTGCTTGGGAGCTAAGGGTGTAGGTATAGGGCGCCCTTTTATCTATGCAATGGCAAGCTATGGTGAAGAAGGTGTAACAAAGCTTATCCAAATTTTGAAAACCGAAGTGAAGAACAATATGAGACTTCTAGGTGTGGATAAAATTGAGGACTTGAACGAAAGTTTGATTGATACTACTAACTTAAAGTTGCGCAGTCCCGTTGTCAGCAATAGGCTTTATGATGGAGCATATGAAGGATTAAGCTTTCCTCTCTTTAATGGTAATGCTGCGGAAGTCTGATCTTCAAACAGGCAATTTCAAGTTATGAGTTTTTAGATATTTTATTAGTAATATTTAAATTTATTCAAATAACGAATGAGATAAATTCATATATGATTATTGGATATTAGAGAGTAAGAAAAGCATAGGTAAATAATCCAGTTTTTTCTTTAAACTATAACGCTCATACTTTTCTAAAATAAAATATACGCCAGATATAACATGTTATTGAAGGCTTTAAAATATGCTCATACGAATTAAGCTTACTCGCTAATTCATTCTTACTTACATTCTTGTAATCTTCATAATTTGGTTTTCCTTTTACCACATTTGCTTCACTTCCTAGGTTGTCCAAATACAAGTGTAATTCCCCATATTCTATTTTTAGGCTCTTCCGTATCAAGAATTCTCTAATAACCAATAAAAGAACGAAACAAGCAAAAAAACATGCCCCGGAAAAAATTTGGGTAGGTAAGTAAGGTCTCCTGCTTGATTTATCTCTCATAGATAGTGCTATAATTTCCGCAACTAAGCAAAGAAACAGTGCCAGGATATTAACAGTCGACCATGCTGCAGGTATTTTATAGGAATCTTCAACTATATCCGCTGCTAATGGTTGCCCCATTACAATTCCAACTCCAATTATAGCTCCTAATACAAGTACGAATGCTATCAAAGATCCATAATTATCTGCATTAATCCAAAATGCTAATAACATGATTGCAATGATTAAATTTATAATTGCCGCAATGTTACAATGCCCAAATTTGTCTGCTAAATACCCCAAAAATGGTCTACCTATTAGTTGACCAGTATTAAGCAAAGCCGTAAGAACTGCACCTTGCTGGGATGAAAGACCCACCAGGTTCGCATAGGGTGAAACTGTAAAGAGCATAAGAATATACCCAAGTTGACAAATTGAATACCATAATGAAAACACACCCATATAAATTGATTTAAAAACATCTTTATCAAAAATCAATGTTAATGATTTTCTAAACTGCTCTTTTTTATTCGAGTCATCGTACTTTTTGCTTAAAGGCTTATATGGTTCTACCACAATAAATACAATTAAACCAGCAAAGAGGGTAACGAAACAAATCATCCGAAGTGCCCATTTTTGATCGTTCATGTCTCCAAGCATCTTGTTAACACTTAATGAAAAAATAAGTCCTCCGAATCCACCACCACTTACCGTGATTCCCATTGCAGTAGCTCGTCTTTTTAAAAACCACGTTGGAATGGTAAGGCTTGCAGGAATAAAAATTAGAGAAAAGGAGATTCCTACCAAAAGTCCTTGAGTTAAGTATAATTGCCAAAGCTTTGTCACAAATGATGCCAATAAGAAACCAGCTGTTTGAAGAATTACACCAATACCTATCACAGTTTTTGTACCAAATAAATTGGCTGCAATAGAGGCCCATGGTGCTAGAAATTGGCCTAGAAAAACAACTATGCTTCCAATTAATGCAAAATCATTATCTGTAGCATCTACAAAGGTATTATGAGATATATAAAAACTCAAAAAGACACCATAACTAGCATTTGTTCCCCAAGTTGCAAAATGAGAAAACATAGCTCCAACTGCTATTAGCCAAGCCCTTCCTCCATCTGGGGGCTCATATTTCTCGTAATATTGACTCGATATTTCAACAGCTTTTCCAACTCTTTCCTCATCAGTTTCTGCTTCAAAATTTTGGTATTTTGTAGGTGCAGCCTCTTCTTCAACAGCCATAACACTCCTATACGTTCTTGCTGAATTAGATATTACGAGATTTCAATAACAACCATTCCATTTATAAAGATTTTCATTATGATTTGTAATGTCTACCATTCGTACCCCATTTATACCCCTTCTATATTATACGCCTGTTACCTTCGGAAGTTTACCGAAATTACTATGACACAAAATGAGACTACTTTTGTGGAGTTTTCTTTCTGGCACCAGAAGTTTATCTCTAATATTGCTGCATTTATGTATAATCTTAATAAAAATTATTCGTTTTGAAAGAATACAATAATTGTCGGTTTAATTAATATTTATTTCTATTTAGGCATACATTATGGGATGTGTTTTATACTTAGATAATTTCAATTTTGCGTATTCGCAAGAGATGAACGATAATACACAGGTAAGCCATCAATAAGTGATGGCTTAAGCGGTTGCCATCCAAGTATTGAACGAGCCAAAGTTCCTCGAACAACGCTAGTTCCAGACAATGCAACTTCAAAAGGAGATGATGGGGTCTTATAGCTATAACTGTCAAGACCTGCAAGCTCAGCAACCCGAGATAAAAGGAGATCCACACTTTCAGTTGCAAAATTGCTACCTTCGAGTTTAAGATGTTTTACTAATGGGTGCTTCTCAACTGCAAGAAGATATAACTCACCAAGATCATCGACATGGACAGTAGCGTAGCGTCCTCCCGGGCTACCTGGCCACTCAATCTTTTTTTCAGAAGCAGCTTGGTTGAAAAGCATTCCAGGGACGCTTCCGCTTCTTCCATAAACTAGTCCTGGGCGAATTACAATACCGTCAATTGCCCTGCTGGAAACAAGAATATTCTCAACCTCCGGACGCCAAGCAACTTTGCTAGGTACTCGGGTAGCTTCAGTTCCATCAGTAACAATTTCCCACCGGTCATCTCCATGTAACCAAACACCCGAGGTCCAAACATAGACTAATTTACTAGCAGTTGGATGCCTTTGAGCCTGCTCAGCTTTTTTTATAAGATTAATATTTTCTTTATCAATTGGAGCACTACCACCGAGACAGTCGACAACGACGTCAACAGAACTAAGCACAGAAGTCCATTTATCGTCAGCAAATGGGTCACTTTCCAATACTTCGATTTCACGAATTTTCAATGTGTTGGCCCACTTTGATGCACTTCTGGTTTGGCCTAAAACTTGATGGCCGGCTCTTACTAAGGCATCAGCTACGCTTGACCCAACAAAACCAGTTGCTCCGAGAACTAAAACTTTCATGATAAAATTATATGTTTGAGTAGTGAGAGGGAATTGATCGATATTCTTATTTTTATAGTTTAACACTACTCCACCACTCTCTTACATGGTAAAAATTGTCGGACAAAATCCGAAACATGTTCGGGAGGGGTCCGGAACACTATAAAGCAACATGATGTAATGTTAGATAGGCTCGCATTTATGAGTGCGATAAGCGATCAAAAAACGTCCCTTCATAGATTTAGTAAGCTTTTTAATTCATGAAGAAACAGTACGCAATGAAAATCATATTGTGGTAATAGGGTTCAGGTATAGTGATACTACATTTCATAAAATAAATATTATGAATACATGAAATAATTATATTGTGCTTTGACAAAAGGCTTAGCTGTATTGTATCACCGTCAAGAATTTCGTACATAATGTATTTTTATTATTATATATTATTCTATAGCTATTAAAATGTTGTCTTATTTTTTCTTTAACTGATAGATCATGACCATTCCACTTCTAAATAATATTTACACGGATTAACGTCCTGCAAGATATATTAGTAAGATTGCAGTCATAGAGTGAATTGCTCACTTGCCTCTGGCAAAGGGTAGAGGAACCATCGCTCTAATTCAGCACCCAAGTTACTTTCGGACCAATCAGGAAATCCAACTATATCACGAATAGGTTCGGCCTCAGCAGCTGCATTAGAAATTGCAGCCAACCTTTCTAAACTTGGGTCTTCGTGTGTACTCAAGGGTTGCATAGGATTACTAGAACTCGAGACTTCTTGATGTAGCTGATAACCCAAGGGCTGCGTCCTGTCATTTGATGTATGATCGTCTTGATCTGAAGGAACTAAATTATGAGGAGGATTATTTCTCTTCATGATGGTATATGAATCCGTATCAAGTGGCAAATTAAGCATGCCCTTACCGGTGCATGCATCAATGTCATGTTCAAAAAAATGCTCATCACCATAGCCATTAGAACAGTCTTCCCAAACTTGGATATCAGTTTGCTGAAGAATATTCGAGCGTTCTTGAATCGGAACATTAATTCCTTCAATTTGTATTGGCCTTGATAAAGAAATATTATCTAGTTTTGCAATTTGAAACCAAACGCACCCATAATGACTAGACTGTTGTGGTAATGGTGGAGCTATACTAGTGATATTTTGAAGAACATTCGAAGATATCATTTCAAAAGCATTTCTTATTCTCTCATTGGCTCCTTCTTCCAAGGTTGAAAACGTTTCAAGCATTGCAGTACAAGACTGAATTTGTAAAAATATTTCAACAAATGATATACACAACTGATGAGAATTTCGTCTTTTAGCAAGTTCTTTCAATGAATTAACAAATGTTAAGCCACACATAAAAAGGTTTTGTACTGTGAGCCATGAAAACACTGCAGAATATTCTCTATGCATAATTTTAACCAACTTCATGCCCTCACCTGCGGAATGGAAAGCAACATGTAGTTCCTCATCAGATAGCTTTGGACGATTAGGAGATGGTCGGAAAAGTAAAACAACAGCAATATGAAATTGAAATTCAGTCCACTCCTTCGTTATTAATGGTGTAGGATGGGAGAATGTACTACGCCAAAGTCTAAGTTGGTCATACAACTGCCAACTCCAATTAACAAGTTCTTTATGAGGTAGTTCCTCTTGATATGATGGTGCGTATAATTGTTTATGGATTTCTGATTGAAGTCGGCATATCCGAATCTGTTGAATTTGGGAAACCTTTAGGTGGCACATAGGGCCCGGTTCTATTCCATACACAGTTATCAGCTTATCCTCAACCATAGCAGGGCATTTAGCAGATATCCAAGTATCAGGAATTCCGGTAGGTCTTCCCATTACTGTCGATAGGATTCGATCAATGCAATAGCAAGTCCAGAATATACGTCGACGAAGGTCCAAACTTAAAGGGTCAAAATCTTGCGAGGGATTTGGTTCAGCGTAGAGCCCCATTTCAGTTGCAAATCTCATAGCCGAACCCGAGAGCTGCCATAAATTTCCTGCGTTGGGAACTAATAGAGTGTATTGTAATAGTAGTAAGATGTTTTGAAGCTTTTTAATTCCACGACCAATGAGTATTCGGGAATGAAATTTTGTCGCTGATTTCCAGAAATCATGAGCAATTCGCCCGATCTCAGAAACAGATAATTGTGGCCGACTCATGGAAGCTAGAGAAATGGCTATGACCATATTTACCTGAAAAAGGTCGATCAGAGAAGCTTCTTGGGGTTTGTTCTTGCATTTTTCTAGTTGAAGATGAAACATACATTCATGTAGTACGGGGTGTGCGCTATTCATCCATGCGAAATAGCGCTTTTCCAATCTAGTGAGTAAATGATAATCGTAAGCTGTTATGTCTGTAAGTCTATTTCTAGTGTTGTTCCGACGTGCCTGCTTCAAGAAATCTTGCCCAAGTTTTCTGATAGAAGCCTGCTCCTTGTCCTTAAAGATTTCCCCTTCACTTTGCCTAGAAGCAGGGCTTAAATACTGTCGGATTTGACTGTCAAGTTCATCGCTGACATGGGAAGCCGATCCTATAGAAAAAGTTGTAGCGAGCAAAGAATCCATCTTATCCCGGATAGAGCTTTCATTATCATCATTCAAAGAAGCTGGGGAGCAACCATTGTCAGATCCTATAGGACTTACATGCAGCTGAGTCTGGGAAGGCAATTGAGATCTATTGGATATTGGCAATGGAGATTTGTCCTTTGAAGTGTCTCGATTTTGATTATCAAGCAATCTCGCCCGTTTTGGTACTTGTTGGCCAGTTCCTGATTGCTGATCGAATGACGCATGTCCTCCTTCAAAAGCACGGATTCGTTCTTCCAATGACCAAAGATGACTTCTAGTAATCTCTTTTCCCAAAACTTTATGTTTATGCATACATTCAACCCCAGCCTTTGCACAGTTCGCGCATAATGGGAGTTGTGAATCACACTTCGTCTTCCTAGACCGACATCTCTCACACGCTGGAAGCCGTCGCTGACCATTTTGGCTATCTTCAATCATTGCCGTTTAAAAAGATGCCTTGTATTAAGAAAAAGCAGTATGATTACCGGAAAAAATATGTTTATAAGGAAGATGTCCGAAAAGGTCTCTCCAATGTTCCGCGATTATGGGGATGTGGGAGACTCATTCCATGGGTTCGGGTCAATTGGCTAAATTACATGAAATTCAAAATTTGTAGAGCGTTTCCTAATACCACGCTGTAAGAAAAAAGGTACGCGAAGAAATTTTTTCCATTAATATAGACAATTAATAAAATCTTCGAAAATGGTAAAACCTCTGTCTACTGACACCCCGGACGAGAAATAAGTGGTTATTTTCACTATAAATTTTGCAATGTAGATGCAAAGAGATATTGGTATATGTTTTTACTTTCATAGATACTGATATATATTTACTACAAGGATGGATTCAAACATATTACATTAAATAATCTAGAATTATTGTAATAAGGACGAGGTAATTGTAAAATAATAATATTTCGTGAAGCAATTTTTAATGCATTAGTTATAGAATTTGATTATCCAGTCTAGCTTGTAGTTAACAAAATAATATAATGACAGGGAAATATGTGGTGTGTTACGTATCATTTCACAATTATTCGGAAAGGCTATCTCTTTAAATTGTCATTCGTAGCATAAGTCTAAATAGCTACATAGAATGAGCACCTATCTACCATGATATGGCTTGGTTAATTATGTATATCTGTCCAATTAATTACCCAACGATGGCAAAAAGGTTGTATGGGCACACTCAATTTATTTTTCTATCCACTGCTAGTCAATTTCATTGGCAATTTTAACTAGGAGTATATCATACATTTTGCAGTAGCTCTTTGACTAAAAAGTTTTAATATGCTTTTTACGAAGCATTATTAAGTGATAAAGATATTCTATTAATGTATGAATTTTTGCACGCCTTTTTTTATTCTAATTATTCGATAAGTTATAAAACAACTTAAATGTTAGTTCCATCAATTGGCCAAGGAATTTCTTCCCCATAGTTCCAATGTATAGCCTTGGTTTGAGTGTATTCCTTCAAACCCTCAATACCCAATTCACGACCAAATCCAGATTGTTTCATACCTCCAAATGGGACTGCGTTACTTAAAGCCATATACTGATTGCACCAAACAGTTCCCCCACGGANAGCATGNANCATACGCATACATTGGGAAGCATTNTGNGAAAANANACCNGCNNCAAGACCATATTCAGTATTGTTAGCCTTTTCAACAGCTTCTTCTTCACTACTGAAACTTTGAACAGTAAGAACAGGNCCNAANATTTCNTCGTCNACAATCTTCATNCCTGGTTTACAATCAGTNAAGATTGTNGGAGNAACATAATAACCNTTNTTAANTTGNGNTGNTAANTNNGNCAATCTTTNTTNTCCGCCAGAGAAAAGAGTGGCACCTTNTTNGNTACCTGANTTAATGAAGNATTGAATNTTNTCTTGTTGNTGTTTAGATACTTGTGGACCTTGGAATGTTTTGATNTCAAATGGATCNCCAANGACATGTGATTCAAANTTCTTTTTAAGTTTTGCNANGAANTCATCCTTAATAGTATCNTGNANGAANAANCGNGAACCAGCACAACANTCTTGNCCNTGGTTAAAGAGAATACCTTGACTGACCCAGTTTACNGCTTGGTCNATNTCAGCATTNTCNAAGACNACTNCNGGNGATTTACCTCCAAGCTCAAGNGTNACNTTNTTGAGNTTACTTNTAGCAGCNGCNTCCATGATAGNACGNCCNGTGANGGTAGANCCAGTGAAGGCAANNTTNTCNATATCCATATGNGATGANATAGCTTTACCAGCAACAGCACCTACACCATTAACAATNTTAATAACACCAGGAGGNAANCCAGCNTCAACAGCTAACTCAGCTAAGATAAGAGCACTTAAAGGAGTCTGTTCAGCAGGCTTCATCACAATAGTGTTACCAGCTGCTAAAGCAGGACCTACCTTCCAAGAAAACATTTGAATCGGATAATTCCATGGGATAATCTGGCCACAGACACCAATTGGTTCTGCCCTAGTAAAAGCCAATTTTACACCTTCTTCTTGCTCAATAGTGCGGCCTTCAATTTTATCAGCAAGACCAGCATAATAACGAAGGCACGCGATACTATCCTTAATGTCGACATCGCGAGCCATCCATACTGGCTTACCATTATCAAGACTTTCAAGTTCAGCAAGAGTGTCGATATTGGCATCTATCAAATCTGCCCATTTATGAAGGGCTTCACTACGTTGTGATGGCGTACTTTTCTTACCCCAGGTGGTTTCAAAAGCCTTTCTAGCAGCTTTAACCGCATCGTCAACGTCTTCAGCAGTGGCAGAACTAATAGTGGCCAATGGCTCGCCGGTGGCAGGATTTGGAGTTGTCAATTCATTTCCATTCTTTGCTGGTCTAAATTCATTGTTGATGAGTAAACCAGTTTTGAAAGAAATACTGCTGCCAGTAGGAGTTTTAAGCGTAATTGACATGGTTTTTAAGGCAAAAAAAAATTATTAATTAAGTAACAATTAAAAAAAAAGTATGAAATTCACATAATACGTTCATGTTTATAATCTATATATAATATAGAGCACGGTGGACTGTGTGGGGTATGTGGGCACATAATCCTTGGGCTTTTATCATTGTAGGCTAATGTTTTCTTAATCGGTCTTTTCATATCCGAATAAAACAGTTATCTCGTATGTGCCTCGGATTCATTCCGAAATTTCTCTGATCTTAATCCCCCACTCTGGAAATTCTCCGAGAACTATATTGAGACAAACTCCTATAGAGTAAGAGTTCTATTAAAAACCGGAGTCATACAGTGAGGAGATTGTATTATGGAGATGTTCTCCATATACACTTTTTTTTATAAAAGGTACCAAGACTCGATTCGGTTTAACTGAACATGCAATTCAATCAAGAGTCAGTTTCTAACTTATCTCTGTCGTTTTTCAAAATATGAACCGTGCTGTTACTTATGATGATAAGGTCCATTGCATTGCTGATCTTGAGTTTGAAGCAAATAGAAAGCTTCCACCAATGGTTCGTGATTTCTATGGCGGGGGTTCAATGGATCTTAATACTGTTCGTGAAAATAAATCTGCTTATGACCGTTACAGTTTAAGACCAAGAGTAATGGTAGATGTTACTGAGGTTGATACAAGCACTATTTGTTTAGGATCTAAAGTTGCTTTTCCTTTAGGATTTTCTCCATCTGCTAATCATGGTTTGGCTCATCCTGATGCTGAACGTGGCACGTCTGCGGCGGCTGCTAAAAAAAAGATTAATATGGCACTTTCAAGTTGGACGAATACTTCCCCAAAAGTAGTCGCCGAACAAGGTAAGGATGCTGGTATATCATATGCCCATCAATTGAGTGCTGTTAAAGACGAAGAAGTCACTATGTCCATTATTCGTAATGCTGAAGCTTGTGGTTACAAAGCTATTTTCTTAAGTGTTGACTGTCCATTGTTAGGAAGAAGACTTAATGAAATGAAAAATACGTTTACTTTACCCTCAAATTGCACTTTCCCATGCTATCCATTTATAAAAGGAGGTGAAATGGTGAGTAATGATATTCGTACTCAATATGAAACTACACTCACTTGGTCTTATATTAAAGAATTAAAGAAAAAAACGACTATGGAAATATGGCTTAAAGGGATCCTCACAGGTGAAGATGCTGATATGGCTGTTAATGCTGGAGCAGACGGTATTATCGTGTCAAATCATGGTGGTAGACAACTTGATGGAGCCTTGTCCACTTTAGATGCCTTGCCAGATGTCGTTGCAGCAGTTAATGGAAGAATCCCAGTTCACATTGATGGAGGTATTAGAAGGGGAAGTGATATTTTTAAAGCTCTTGCCTTAGGTGCTGATCATTGCTGGGTTGGCCGTATTGCTGTTTGGGGTCTTGCTTATAAGGGTCAAGAAGGTGTTTCTATCGCATTAAATATTTTGCATGATGAATTTCGTTTAGTTATGGCATTAATGGGTTGCACTTCTGTCAAGGATATCAAACCAGAACACCTTGCTAGGATGTCTTCTGATGGAACATTCCAGAAGATTACGCGTAGGGCTGAACCTAAGTTATAGAAAACGAGTCTATGACGTGAACATATGCTATACGTATACCACTTTAAATAGTTAAGTTCATAAATTTATGATTTCTTTAACTTCTCACTTGTAGATTGTGAAGCGATTAATTGCTTGGCTACAGAGATTTTCATCACAATAATATTATATTGAGAGCTATTACTCCAGAAAGTTCAATTAATAAGATTACATAATTTTAAGAATCGCTGAAAGATTATATGGTAGAAAAACAGTTAGCATTCGCCACTGATAAATATTGATGAATGAGATCTTGTCCAAAAGTGCTACATTTAAAAAAAAAAGGTCATTTAAAAATTCCTTATGTTAAAATATCTTAATCTACGTAGTCTAAATTATATTCAGTTAGTTATTCCTATATGGACCTGACTCTATTATACAAAAGAATTATTTGTACTTTCTCTTTTCAAGAATTTTGGTGAGCTTCTCAACATCATTTGTTTCTAATGGGAGAGTTGGAAGTCTGAGTGGTCCAGCAGATTTTCCTATAATATCAAGTCCTGTCTTGATACCAGCCGGATAATTAACGCTCTCCAAGAAATCACTGACCTCCCAAAGGAATTTCCACTGCTCTCTAGCTTTATCAATGTTCTTCTCCTTTGTAAAAGTGTTCCAAAGCTCAACGCATTCCTTTGGAACAATAGATGCAATACCCCAAACAACAGCTTGAGCCCCATGGGACATGGAGAAAAAAGTTAAAGTATCCCATCCATTGAAGACAGTAATGTTATCAGAAGGATTGGTAAGAAGATCTGCATGCTCCTTAGCATTACCAGAAGTGTCTTTCATATAATCAAAGCCTTTGATCTCACCTAATTGCCTAACTTGATCAGCAGTAAGGTGAACACCAGTCGCACCCGGCAAATTATAGTACATGACAGGAATTGAGATGGATCCACAGACATCTTCATAAAATTTGTAAAGTGCCTTGAAAGAAAGAGGATCATAGAATGGTGGAACAATCATAACAGCAGTAGCACCGACCTTTTCAGAGAATTGAGCCATTTCAATAGCATGTTGAGTGCTGTTACTACCAAGGCCTGCTACAACAGGGAATTTTCCCTTCGCAGCATCAACATAAGCCTTAATGACACTTTTATGTTCATCAGTAGTAAGGGCTGGAAATTCACCAGTGGTACCAGTTGTTACAACACCATGAATTCCAGCTTCAGCAAGCCTGTCAACTTGCTTTGCGATATTCGGAATATCAATCTGTTTTGCATCAGCAGTGAGAGGAGTTGGAATAGCAGCGAAAATACCTTGAAGTTGGGTCATTATTATTATTATATGTAATTTGGTAAATTGAAGCTAGAAAAGAATTACAATATGACCCTTTTAAGTTCATTGAAATCGCTATATTCTCTATGAACAAATTACGTGGGGAAGACCTATAACGGAAACTGCCCGATAGCTGCAGGCTAAATTTCGGTGCGAATCCGTTACCCCACGTAAATAAACGTTTTGTCTACATCAAAATACGTAATGTTAAGGTTAACAATCATAATATTCTAGCTATATCCCACATTTTGGGTTCCTGGACTAACTCCACAGAATTTGCTTAAAGTGGGGTGAAAGCATTTCGAGTCATAAATACAACAACCTAAAGTCTAAAGAAGTCTTAGTGGATATTGTTATCATGTAAAAGTATTCCCAGTTACTAGATAAGACTAGCGGGGAAACAATTCGAAATAGATAAAATGAAATGAAAACTCCATAATATGAGAATACTTCTATAACTACTCATTCAATATGTCAAAATTCGAATCGGAAGAGAAAATGTTTAAAGGTAATGTAACGATAAAGAGGGAGATAAGTATTGATGGTAATTTTGAAAATGACTCTACGCTTGATATACAAGACGATAACGTTTTCGTCAATAACGGCGAAGGCCCTGATTTCAGAGGTGTTTCTTGCTTAGGAGGGGCAGTTTTGATCGCAAAAATTCAATTCGGTTTAGGCGTCCTTGGCTTACCTCAAACTTTCCAAGTTTTGGGAATTGTTCCTGGCCTAATAAGTCTTATTGGATTATGTATCCTCAGCACATGGGCGGGGCTAGTTATCGGGAAGTTCCGTCTCTCTCATCCACAAGTTCACAATGTTGGCGACGCTGTTTATCTTATGTTCGGTAAGTATATTGGGGATTTGTTTGGATTTGGATTTTGGCTCCAATATACCCTATTGTACGGTGCGGCTGTACTCACTCTTTCTATTGCCTTCAATACATTTAGTGACCATGCCATTTGTACTACTGCTTGGGTTGGTATTAGCGCTTCCATGGCTCTTATTGCGGGGCTTCTCATGCGTACTATGAAAGTTTTATCATGGTGCGGTTATGTAGCTGTAATATCAGTTTTCTTAGGAGTTTGGGTTGTTGCGATTGCCTGCTTAACCCAAGATACACCAGCTGCAGCACCAAAATCTTCAGAACCTGTCAATACAATAATCGAAGCAGTTGCTACTGGTTCTTCTTATTCAGCTATTTCAAGTGCTATTGCTACTCAAGTATTAAGTCTTTGTGGTACGCCCTCATTTTTTGTGATTCATGCTGAAATGAAAGATCAAACTAAATATGTTAAATCACTTCTCATGGGTCAAGGATTTGTTGCATTTAATTATATTGTAATTAGTTGCATTGTTTATGGAAAAGTTGGACAATATGTTGCATCGCCATCTCTTGGATCTGCTGGTATGTTGATTCAGAAAGTTGCGTACGGAGTTTCATTTCCAGCACTTTTCTTTGCATGTTTCTTCCAAGCTCACCTTTCTGCAAAATATGCACTTGTTCGTATTTTAAAAGGTTCTCGACATTTACAAAGTAATTCTAAAACCCATTGGGCAACATGGATTAGTATGATGTCTTTGGTTATTATTATCGGATTTGTAGTAGCTGGTGCTATTCCATTTTTCGATGATTTATTAGGATTAATTGGTGCACTTCTTGGCACAAGCTTTACACTTATAATCCCTGCATTCATGGCCCTATATCAATTAGGTATAGGGTCCGAAGAGACTACTACATATAATGGCTTAAAATGGATGAATCGATCTCAGAAGATGTGGGGAAGCAGTAGAAAAAACACTTTCACTGCTATATTGGCGTTTGTCGCAATTATATGCGGCATTTATATCACCATCTCAGGGGTGTATGGGTCCATCGCAAATATTGCTCAAGGTTATGCAGATGGTCTTGTCGCAAATGCATTCTCCTGTGCAGACAACAGTCGCTAAGGTAGCGAAACCTTAGAAGTTATTCGTGTGTAAATTAATGATTTTATGATTTTATGAGTTCAATTCCATGTAGATGTTTAATTGTCTCCATGTGATACTTTTAAATATTAACACATATAACAAACATTTACGTTGTAATTGCTTGTTCTACTAAGTATAAAGAAAAAAGATACTTAAATGATTCTACTTTATTTAATTCTGTTATTTACAAGAAACGAACAAGTAAACTATCAATAGTGATATACATATTCAAGATATAATGACCCTTGAACAATAATAATACCAGATTATGTAGTATTTTTTTAACCATATAGGAGGAGTTCAACACTCTCAGCAATTGAGATACTAAGTTGGCGACACTTCTATTCCTTTCATTAACTAACCTAAAGTAGATTATGCTATCAATTGCTGTAGTGGGAAAATGACATTCAACGCAACTTTTTTGAGACTGGGGTAGTAGCTTCAATTGTTCTCGTTACCAGAACCAAACATTTGAGATCCAAATAAAATATAAGTTTGGAGTAGTTGGATGTCTTTGAGACTGTTCAGCATTGAATTAGGCTAATTTTTATTTTTGCCAATAGCACCAGGAGCCGAAGATAGCATCGAGAGAAATAAGAACATAAGTCCACTTATCATAAGTAAATGAGTGGCTTTCAATTTCCCTATTTTTTTCAATTTCTTAATTCAAGTTATGCAATTTGGCCTAAAACTTGATGACCACCTCTTACGCGTGCATCAGTTCCCTTAAAACCAAAAGTTCCAAAACTAAAGCTTTCGCGATGAAATCATATGTTGGGCAGAAAAAAGGTGTTGATCAGTTCATCTCCGAGTCAGTTGTAATGTATGGGGATAAATACGAGATAAAAAAACATCCGGAATCTGTCCGAAAGTGAGTGGAGAATTTTATAACCTTACTGATTTTATTTAAATTAGCATTGCGTTCTTGACCCACATACCCCACAAAATGATGAAAACAGGTTCCAAAAATCCGCAGGTATATGCATAAATGATAACTCAGTGATTTTAATTATAACATAACATTGCAAGACTAATGTGGTTCGTTTTAATTAACTTTTATTGAATATATTTAAGGATTGCAAACATGCTACATAAATACTAGCATAATTGTAATTATAGTGAACTAAAAAAAAAGGAAAACCATAACGATCTGGCCTTTTTATTTAGATTAAGGTGCCTGCGTTAAATAGAGTTATTGCTACCCGCATTCGCCGTTCGTCGACCGGCCCAAAAGTATTATGGGGTATGGGGATATTATGGGGACATTATGGAAAGGTAAATTTATTTAAAACCAAAATACACCCCCGAAAAATATTTGATGCTGTTCGAATCCTGGAGTTGAAAGTATGCCCAATATTAATAAAATTAGTGAGAAAGTCTCAGAGAAAACCGAGTACAAAGTCACAGAAAAGGCTGAGAATGAGATCGGGGAGGTTCATATCGATGGTAATGATGGTGCTACTAAGAACTCGAGCGAAGAGTTTGAAGATGAGGATATCTACGATTTTGATGACGCTAACAATTACTCAACCAACTTTGTTGATGAACGCAATCCTATGGGATTGAGAAGGCCTACTAAGCAAGAAGCTTCGTCTTTGAGAAGAGTTTTGGGAAGAGCAAGCTGGGCTTGCTATTTGCTTTGTGTGGCCGAATTTGCTGAAAGAGCCTCTTACTATTCTTGTCAGACTCTTCTAGGTAACTTTATTACTAACAAATTGCCCGAGGGTAGCAGCACCGGAAAGCTTATGCCTGGAAGTGCTAATCCTGGTGCTTTGGGGTTGGGTGTGCCTACTGCAACTGCCATCACCTATACTTTAACGTTTGTAGCTTATGTAGTGCCATTATATGCCGGTTATGTCGCTGATGCTCAGATTGGTAAATTTAAAGCGATCTGGATTGGTGTTATTTGTTGCGCATGTCCTACTTGTAGTAGCTGCAGCTCCAAGTGTTATTGCTGGAGGTCATGCTATTGTTCCCACTGCGTTGGGCATCATTTTATTGGCGTTTGGTACCGGCTTCATCAAACCTAATTTATTACCACTCTTAATGGATCAATACCCTGAGCTGACGGACGTGGTCAAGGTTTTGCCCTCTGGGGAAGCGGTAATTGTTGATCGTCAAAAGTCGTTGGAAAGGATGACGTTAGTATTCTACTGGTCCATCAACGTCGGCGCTCTTTTCCCAATTCCAAGTGTTTACATCGAAAGAAGAATCGGGTTTTGGTTCGCTTTTTTCATTCCGATCATTATATTTCTCATTATTCCGTTTGTATTTTGGTTCGTGCATCCCAAGCTTAAAAAGGAAGAACTCCAAGGCTCAGTTCTTGTTAACACTAACAAAATATTGAGAGTTCTGTTTAGAGGAAACTGGATCAAAAGGTTGAAGCAAAGAACATTTTGGGATTATGCGACTCCAACAAATATGAGAGCGAGAGGTGAACAATACTTTATAACAAAGAAAAAGAAACCAATCACTTGGACTGACCAATGGGTGTTGGATGTCAAGCAAATTGTGAATATTTGTAAAGTTTTTCTGTACTTCGTGGTCTTCAATCTATGTGATGCTAGTAGTAGTGGAGCGACGCCAGCATTAACTGCTCAATCAGGATCTATGACAAGCGATGGAACACCAAATGATATGTACAGTAACTTCAGTGCAATATCAATTGTTGCACTTATACCAATATTGGATTACGGGATTTATCCTTTATTGCGTAAATGGAAAATCAATTTTTGGCCTTCATGGAGAATCACTCTTGGTTTGCTCTTTGCAGCTTTGACTCAGGTAACAGCTGCTATCATTCAGAAAAAAATTTATAACACAATTGAATGTGGTGACCACGCCGCAGAATGTGTAGAAAAGGGAATAGTAGCACCAATTAATGCATGGGTCCTGGTGACACCATACATTTTATCTGCTGCAGGTGAATGCTTTGCCAACACTTCTGCTTATGAATTAGGTTATACTAGAGCTCCACCACACATGAAAGGTTTTGTTCAGGCTCTATTCTTATTTGCAACTGGCATAGCTGCAGCCATAGCTGACGCTATCAGCCCTGCATTGAAAGACCCAAATTTGGTTTGGTATTTTACATCGTTAGCAATTGTCGGTGGTGTATTCACTTTTCTTTTCTTTATTCATTTTAGAAACTTGCATAAGACTATGGAACATGAAAGAAAGATGAGAGCCATATTAATGCGTAAACTGGAGAATGAAATCCAAAATTCAGAAGGGGTTACCTCGATCACATCTGCTGTTAAACAATTGTGATTTGTCGAATATATACCATTATTGGGATAATCAGGTTATCTATATTTATGTGGCTACCCACGTATTAGAAGGTTGTTACCTGACACAGTTACCTTCCTATCGGAGTTTATCTGCAAATCGCAATAGAAAGAAGAGTTCTATATCAATATCTTCAAGGGTTCTCAACTCTACCGTATCTCATGAACTTAGCTGGAAGCTTGTCCATAACTGATACATAGTACTAAAAGATCTAATCAATGGAGTCAAGACGCTTGCCACAAAAAAAGCACGCAGTGCCTTAACTAGTCAGTCACCGCAAAGTAGTTTATTATGTCAATCGGCACTTCTTCCAACGATAATTACCAGATGACGCCAGAAATGGAACCGGTTATGTCCACAATTTAGGAAGCTTAACATTCGTATTTGTGCATATATCTTGGAATCCGTTTAAATGTTGCTTTTTTGTAGCACTATCAAAATTAAGATTAACCTATTTTATATTGTCAAGTAAGCAAGCATTGTCTTATATATAGCTACTGATACGTGTATCAGAGTGAATTAGGCATTATGAAAATAAAAAATATCATGGAGAATCATTTCGAATAATGAGTAAGTTCTTTATATTAAGCAAACACTACTTTCTTAATATTAACTACAAATCATTGTGGGAAAGTCTACTTAGGGCACAACGCTTTAGAACCAATGTAGAGATCTCTAAGATCTGGCCATCATTTGGGTGTATATAGCATTCTAGCTCTAAAAGAATAAATAAGTATCCCATTACTATTCCCGTACCCTTTGGAATTTTTGTTTTAGTAATGCGAATCACATCACTCGATTATACATAAGTGGATTGTCGTTGTTGAAGATGAACTTTAGCTTCTATTTCTCTCAGTGTCCAAACATCTTGACTGGAAAAAATTGCTCATTTGCCTCCAGTAAAGGATAAAGGAACCAACGCTCTAATTCGGCGTCCAAATTAGATTCAGACCAATCAGGTACTGTGTCCAAATCACGAAATGGTTCGGCTTCAGCAGCAACATTGGAAATTACAGCCAACCCATCCATAGCTGGGTCTTCAAATGTGGCGAGGGACCGCGTAGAATTACTGAAACCTGAAGTTTCTTGATTTAACTGATAGTCCAGAATATGAGGGGCCTGATTTTTATCATTCGATACATTAAATGTTTGATCTGAAGTAACTAAATTATTAGATGGGCGGCCTCCCTTCACAGTATACGCGTCCGTATCGATCGGAATATCAAGCATATGGTTACTCGTGGACGCATCAATGTCATGTTCAGAGTAATGCTTATTGTAATAGCCATTACAACAGCTTTCCTGGCCTTGAATATCAGTTTCTTGTAGAACGGTTGAATATTCCTGAACTGGAATTGAAGCATTTTGAATTTGTGTTGGTCTTGATATGGAAAGATTATCTAATTTTGCAATTTGGCTCCAGATGCATCTTTCATGACTATCGTATTGTGGTAAAGAAGGTGCGATACTAGTAATATATTTAAGAACATTTGACGAGATCATTTCAAAGGCATTTCTTATTCGCTCATTAGCTCCTGCCTCTAAAGCAGATAAGGTTTCAAGCATTGCAGTGCAAGATTGAATTTGTAGAAAAATCTCAACAAACGATATACATAATTGATGCGAGTTTCGTCTCTCAACAAGCTCTTTCAATGAATTAACAAACGTTAACCCACACATAAAGAGGTTTTGTACAGTAAGCCATGAGAAAACTGCAGATAATTCTCTATGCATAGTTTTCACTAGTTTCATTACCTCACCGGCAGAGTGGAACGCAACATGTAGTGCTTCATTAGATAGTTTTGTGCGATTAGGAGATGGGCGGAAAAGTAAAACAACGGCGATATGAAATTCTAACTCTGTCCACTCCTTCGTTATTAATGGCGTGGGAAGACAAAAACTACTACGCCAAAGTCTAAGTTGGTCATACATCTGCCAACTCCAAGTAGTGATATCTTCTTGTGGTAACTTTTTCAGATTTGAGGGCGCATATAAGTATTGATGAATTTCTGATTGTAGTCGGTATATACGAATTTGTTGAATTTGAGCGACTTTAAGGTAGCATTGAGGACCCGAAAGTATTCCATGAACGGTAACTAGCCTATCTTCAACCAATGCTGGACATTTAGCAGATATCCAAGAATCAGGAATTCCAATAGGCCTTCCCATCACGGTTGAGAGAATTCGGTCAATGCAGTAACACGTCCAGAATATACGTCGACGAAGGTCCAAACTAAGGGGATCAAAATCTTGTGAGGGATTTGGCTCAGCATAGAGCCCCATTTCAGTTGCAAACCTTATAGCCAATCCGGCAAGTTGCCACAAATTTCCTGCCTTAGGAACCAATAAAGTATACTGTAATAATAGTAAAATGTTTTGAAGTTTTTCAATTCCATAACCAAATAGCACTCGGACTCGAAGCTCTGTCGCTGATTTCCAGAAATCATGTGCTATTCGTCCAATCTCTGAAATAGACAGATGGGGTCGCCTAATTGAAGCAAGTGCAATGGCTATGACCATATTTACCTGAAAACGGTCTACTAAAGCAGCTTCTTTGGGGTTCCTCCGGTATCTCTCTAGTTGAAGATGAAACATACATTCATGTAGTACCGGATGGGCACTATTCATCCATTTGAAATATCTTTTTGCCAATCGAGTGACTAAATCATAATCATAAGCTGTAATATCTGTAACTCTATTTCTTAAATTGTTCCGACGGCCCTGCTTTAAGAAATCCTGCCCAAGCCTAGCATTAGCCATGTTCTCCTTCTCAATATTTATTTCCCTTGCACTTCGTCTAGAAGAAGGATTTGAATATTGGCGGATTTGACGGTCAAGATTATCACTTACGCATGTGTAATTTCCTTCCTCAAAAGTTGTTGTGAACAATTTATCCATTGTGTCTCGGACAGAGTCCTCATTATCTTCACGCAAAGAAGGTGGTGAGAGTCTACCTTCAGAACTTGTCAGACATGAAGACTGTTGAGCTAATGAAGGAGATTCGCTGGATATTGGTAATGCAAATTGATCTTTCAAATCATTTTGATTACTTGACAACCTAGGTCGTTTGCGTGCATGCTGTGTCGCTTCTGAATGATGTTCAAAATGATCTTGCTCACCTCGAAAGGCCCGAATATGCTCTTCTAAAGACCAAACATAACCTCTTGTGACAGCTTTGCCCAAAACTTTATCTTTGTTCATACATTCCACCTTAGCCTTCACGCAGTTGGAGCACGATGGGAGCTGTGAATCACACTTTGTCTTCCTGATTCGACACCTTTCACAAGCTGGAAGCCGTCGCCCATTGTCATTCGTTTCATCCATGATAGTTAACAGCCAGAATGCTTCAAGAATATAACTAATATATTTCGGAAAACCTTAATGATTAGCGAAGAATGTAGGCTCGAGAAGTATATTTGTTGAACTCCAACTTTCGCGGGACGCATCTGCCATAATTTTGGTACCATTTACGAAAAAAAACCGATAAGCTCACATTCTCCCAGAATAATATATAAAATCAGCACTAATAGTGGATTCGGAGCATATAATTTATTTCATTTTTGGCTAAATTCATTATTGATAACTAAACCAGTTTTGATGGAAATGTTGCTTCCTGAAGGAGCGTTGAAGGTAATTGACGTGGTAATTAACCCTGAATACAAAATAATAAGTAAATTATGGCGCTTATTTTAATATTAAAGTGCTTGGTTAGACTGTGTGGGACATCATATCTTTATCGGTGGAAAAAATCAAATCATAATACTCTTCGGATAGACTCTGGAATACGATCTTCTACGCACTACAATCTCCGATATATTAGAGAACACTTTATCTTCCTACTAGACCCAAGTTGGAACCCATCGTTGGCCGTTATGGTTTTATACAACCATTGATGTTGTAGAGCTACTTGTTTCGATAAAAGGACTACAAGTGCTGGAATGATATAAGTTAAAATTACAAATTTGGGTCGTGGAAATATAGAACTGGATCAAAGGACTTATATACATAGTGTACCTGAAGCAGTTACTTATTCTCTTATTAGATAGAAACGGTTGGCAAGAGGGGGAGATTTCCCCGAGCTAGTGAATTATTGAAAGCCAAAAATATGTAACCTACTCGAATGAATGATCAGCAATCCGAAGCTAATATAGAACTTTCACGATTGACAAAAGACTCTTTCTTCATCTTGATCAAGACTAGAATCGAATTCTTCACAATAAAATCGGCAATTATCGAATAATATGGGGCTTGACTTGTTACGGCTACATGGTATAAATTTAAAGAAAGATATTATATTAAAATATACTAAAAACAGAGATTTGAAAACCAATTAATTCCCAAGCTTAATTTAAACTTGGAATTGGTAGTCAGGGAATTGTCTCAAGTTTTCTTCTAACTTACCCTTCTTGGTTAAGAACTTAACGTAAGCACCATCGTCCTTAACTTCACCATTGTTCTTCTTAGCAAGGTATTCGGCTCTGTTAAGAGGAGTGAAACCCCATTTCTTAGAGATAATAATCTTTTGTTGACCTGGGAACTTGTATCTAGCTCTTCTCAAACCTTCAATAACGACATCCTTGTTAGAGTCCTTAGTTCTAGCGGACATAAGAATTTGACCAATGTTAACTCTAGCGGCTAAACCGTGTGGCTTACCCCAAGCACCTCTCATACCTTGTTGCAATCTATCAGCACCGGCACACGACAACATCTTGTTAATACGTAAGACGTGGAATGGATGGACTCTGATTCTCAAGTGGAAAGAATCTCTACCGGAAATCTTGGTGACATATTTGTTAGCACAGATACGAGCGGCTTCTAAAGCTTCAGATGACAATTGTTCTAATTCGTTAGAAACTAAGTGAATACACAATGGGAATTCATCAACAGTAGCCTTCTTACGACCTAAATCGTAGATTCTGATCTTAGCGTCTGGGACAGCTCTGTTGTATCTACTCTTTGGGTATGGTTTGTTCTTACAGTATCTGTAACATCTAGCTGGTCTTCTAGCCATTTTGTCTAATAATTAATGTTAGTAATCAAGATTCACAAATAATCCTATTAACTGTATCAATTTTTTTACTATGAGGTCTTTTTCCTTGCTTATATACCAATTCAATTTTTTTTCATTTGATTTGTAATCATTTTTTTCCACTGTAATATTCTACTGCCAAGTACTTCTTGTCCTCCATTTCCTACTGCTCTCTTGAATGATGTTCTGCATGGTCCTCATGTGCTTATTGATACGTAGTCATCCATATTTTGCATTTTAAACATACCTAATTTACTATAGTAGTGATCTTGTAATAAGGAATATAGAAACGTCCCGAAAAAATTCTCTTTTAGTAAGCTCCAGAGTAAGTCTCACGCAGATTATGGCCATTATTACACAAACCGCCACGGATCACAAAATTTTTCATTTCCGCTATCCGGGCTTAACCCTCGTCATATGACAATATGTGACCACTTTTCACAAAATTCGCCCTTTCTGGCACCGGGCCTATATACCGGATACTGGATAAGCGGGCCAAACGTTTTGACTCGACCTAAAAGGGGATGATATTAGTATGCAGGAGGTACAAAAAATTCAAAGCTCATCTCAGAAGATATATGTACGGTGAATCAAAGAGGTAGACGTGGATAGTGATATATATTGTCAAAATGGGTAGATACAGTGTAAAAAGATATAAGACAAAGAGAAGAACCAGAGATCTTGATCTTATCTATAATGACTTATCATCGAAGGAGTCGATTATGAGATTGAAAAATCAGCCACTTGACGAGAATAAGGCCGGGTTGGGACAGTATTATTGTATTGAATGTGCCAAATACTATGAAAATCAGGAGGCATTAGACCGCCACACCAAGGGTAAGGTGCACAAGAGGAGGGCCAGGGATTTGAAGCAAAGACCATACAGTAACTTGGAATCGGAAGCGGCCACAGGAGTCAATATGCTTAAATTCATGGAATCGGTGGAGAAATATAAGGCGTTGGAGCAATTTAAGGAGCAAAATAAGCAGGAGTTCGACGAGTTGAAGGACCAGAAGAAAGACAACTTGGATGCGATTATAACCGGGATCCCAAGTGGAGAAGCTGGGCAGGAAGACAAGCCAATAGTGCCCGAAGGTGAGGTCGAAATGACCGACAACTGAGGTGCTATGACTATTTTGTATACTAGATTTTTGTTGCACATTTGCAAACATTCTTATGATTTCATTTCGTTTAAAGTGTGTTTACACGTTTATATTTACTGCAAGAGTTAGCTACTTCACATCATTACAATAGCTGTACCATCTAGGAGATCGGCTCTAATACACGGCAATCAGTTATGATTCTGCTTCGTTTCGTTCAATTGTAGTCTCTAGATACTTCGTTAGTTTTGTACTGGTAGGGGGATGTGGCGTTTTGTGTAACCCTATTCGTTATATCGGACTGATAAGACATTTCGGGCACTGATTTCACAACGACCACAAACATCGTCTATTATGAAGGTAAAAATTAAGTCTCGAGCAGGAGCTTCAGTAATAAATTGTACAAGTGACCAAGTGCCATTGGATGCTTTAGTTAACGAAATCAAAACAGCACTTAAGGACTCGATATCCGATGATGCGGTTGTTAGTCTTAAGAATGGGTTTCCTCCCAAAGCCATAGATATGTCGAGATTGGAGACACCAATCAGTGAACTAGGCATTAAGAATGGAGACCAATTAATATTGGAAGATGAAAATGGATCTTCCTCAACTGATATGCAAGATTCCCACCTGAGTCAGGTGTCTAGTGGGTCACATACTAAAGCAAAGTCAGATCCTAATATTCCATCGGTTTATATTGAGTCATTAGACAAGTATCTAATCCTTCGGAATATACCTGACGATAATTCATGTATGTTCAACTCAATCTCGTACGGCCTATTTGGATATAACTCGTTTGATCGCGATGGCATTTCACCACCTAGTAATTTAAGATCTATTATCAGTAGTACGATTCAGACCAATCAAGATACATATAACGAGGTTGTACTCGGAAGGCCAGTAGACAAGTATTGTAAATGGATACTAAAGAAAGATTCGTGGGGCGGTGCTATCGAGCTAGGCATATTAGCCGATTGGTTCAAAGTTAGAATCAATTGCCTTGATATTGAACTGGGAAAATTCATAAGATTTGAAAACGAAGTAAATAAGCCAGACAAATTTATGGTATTGATATACCTGGGTATTCACTACGATATTTTATCTTTGAATGTTAATTTGTCAACTTCAAGTCAGGATAAGCAAACTGATACGTGTATCTGGCCTATAAATTCAAGGATAGAAGAGTTGGTTCTTGAATATTCGCTTAAATTGTGCCACTATTTACAAACTCAAAATTATTCTACGAATACAACTACTTTCAGAATAAGATGCTTAGACTGTTATAAGATATTGGTAGGGGAAATGGGAGCTACAAAACACGCAAACGAAACGGGACATTATAACTTTGGTGAAGTCAAATAGCACTCAAAAACGTATATATACATAGTGAAATATATGTAAGCAGGCATTGTCACGTCTTTGTCTACGTGTATGATAATGTAGACATGGTTATAGTATGAATGATGCACGTGATCTCTTCTTAAATAATTTGTCGAGTATCAGCAAATCGATTTTTTTATGGACAATTAATGCTAAAATTATTTGACATTTAGGACTTGGATAACGCTACAGTTGAATACAATTCATATTTCTTGTTAAAAACTTTAAGAGGAAGCTACCAATATGTCAGCAACTACTCAGTTTTTTTGTATGTTTTTCTTTTTAATTTGCCTTTGAAATATACATTATATGTGGAAGTCCATTTCTTCACCATGGAACTTGCTTTCGAAAACTTGGCACATTCATATTAAGATCTTATTACTTTGTCTGCTCGAACGCATTTACTAACCATAACCAGGTCGTCAACCTAAATCTATTGATTTAATACAGGATTACGAAGAAATCACAACATTTCCTAAACCGACTGCTGAATGCCGTTCTGCGTTATATTCAAGCAATGGAGAATATTTTGCTTATACTCAACCTAATGAAGTGGTAGTGGTTAAGACCACCAAAGAGGCACCATTACAAGCTAAAATCGATTTGCCAGAAGTCTTCGATATATATTTTTCACCAAATGGTACTTACTTGTGCTTGTGGTGTAAACCGATTTTACAGGATAAGGAAAGTGGAGTATGGAATAAAAATGTGAAAATTTTCAATATTAATTCTAATAGCATTATTAGTGAATGGTCGAATAAGCATCAAGCTGGATGGAAGCCACAATTCACACAAGACGAAAAGCTCTTTGCTAAAAATGTCAATAACAAAGAACTCCATTTTTTTGATGTCACGAATTCTAGTAATGAAGATATTAATATTAATCAGCCTACCTATAAGTATAAGCTTAGTGATCCTAAGGCTACTTTCCAAAGCTTTCAAATGAGTCCGGGTTTAAATCCATCCATTGCAATTTTTATCCCAGAAAAGAATGGTAAACCAGCAAGTGTCGTGATTTACAATGTACCAAATTTCAATCAGCCAATTTGCCTGAAGAATTTCTTTAAAGCTGAAAGATGTCAATTAAAGTGGAATTCGATTGGTACTGCATTATTAGCATTAGCATCTACAGATCACGATACCACCAACAAATCTTACTATGGGGAAACCAACCTTTATTTATTAGGAATTGCAGGATCATATGACTCAAGAATTGACTTGAAAAGAACTGGTCCTATTCATGATATCACCTGGTCTCCTTCTGCAAGAGAATTTGCCGTTGTATATGGTTACATGCCAGCCGATACAACATTTTTTGATGCAAGAGGTAATGCTATCTTCTCATTACCAACTGCACCAAGAAATACTATATTGTATTCTCCACATGCCAGATATGTATTAGTAGCCGGTTTTGGTAACTTGCAAGGTACTGTTGATGTATATGACCGTCAAAATAAGTTTTCAAAGGTTACTACTTTCGAAGCTGCAAATACCTCGGTGTGTGAGTGGTCACCATGTGGAAGGTACATATTGACAGCCACCACATCACCAAGATTGAGAGTTGATAATGGGTGTAAGATTTGGCATGCTAGTGGTAAATTGGTTTATTTGAAGGAATACCAAGAATTATATTCGATCACTTGGAAGCCCCAAAGCTTGGATAAGTTCCCCCCATTAAGGAACTTGGAAGATGCACCAGTCGCACATGAATCGACGAAGGAATATTTGGCAAAGAAGCAAGCAAATGACTTGAGTGCTGCCCAGAAGCCTAGCGGAGCATATCGTCCACCCCACGCCAGAAATTCTGGTAGCAGTGCAAGAACGTCATTATATCAAAAGGAATTGCAATCAAGCAGCTCTCTTTCTGGATCGAACGGCAACGGTGCCAGAACCAGAGTGGTCCCAGGTGCTGCTCCGGTAGATAACACTCCTAAAGAAAGCAAAAGTGCTGCCAAGAACAGGAAGAAGAGGGAGGCTAAAAAACAACAACAGGACGAAGGACAACAAGTTGAATCGCCATCTAACAGCGTCGAAAGTGGCCAAAAGGACAATGAAGCTTCAGAAAGTGGCGTCATTGGTGGTGTAAGCTCGTTGGAAGAGAAGAAAATCAGATCGTTGTTGAAAAAATTGAGAGCCATAGAAACATTGAAAATGAAGCAGGCCAATGGCGAAACTTTGGAAGACACGCAGGTGTCCAAAATTAAAAAGGAGGACGACATTAGAAAAGAATTACATCTGTTAGGATGGTCTGATTAAGTCGAGCACATCCATAATATTACTATAACAACTGTCAGAGCTAATGACTCTGGTGGTTGGTGTTTCCTGATATATGCCATTTGTGCCATGTAGTGCTTAAATAGTCCACTGTATAGAAATAAACATTTTTGCACCTGCCTTAGCGCGCTGTATCTCCTGTCTTCCACACAAATTACTCATTTAGGAGTACTAATTGAAAATCTTTCCCAGGCTTCTTCGCTTCGCAGACGTATACCTTGCCCTGCAACCGTGATTCGTGATTGTTAAGAATCGCGTTTCGCATTGAAATGAAGCGTAGAATCTAGATTTCATGTCGTCTGCAACGTTGACGCAGCAATTATTTTTTCACTTCGTTTTATGTTGTCCTATATATCGCACTTTACTTGTTGGACGTCATCGCCTATCTGTTGTCAGGTCGCATGTGCTTGAAATGGCGTCGTTTGTCTGTAATACTTGAAGTTCTATCTACCATGGTTTTGTTAGTTTTAATTCGTTTCGCGCCTAATTGCCAAAGCAATACCAAACCGCTAGAACAGAAGTGCAAAAGCCTTCGAAGATTTCACCGATCTATATCACATCCATGCACCCGAATTACATGCATACACCAATAATAAACAGGGATCTTTTTCGCTGTCTCGTTGCCCTGTGTCAACTTTCAAGACACGACCACGCCTGAGTCTAACATTACCCGGTAACTTATTGCTATGCCCATTGCGTTACGCAGCCCGTGACAGGTACCTAATCCTTCTATTGCTCTTTTATTGCTACTTGCGTACATGAGCATACTATTCTCCGTAGCGACCGCATATTGTAGGAGTTTAAGTGTTCGTGTCCGGTGCCAGTGCCCGATTATCATTTCATAAGCACACGAGCGTCGAGCAACCGCTAAATATCCCTATGTCTGAGTCTCCACATTGACATTACCGAAACCTTGTTATCACGCCATAGCTCAAAAAGGATATCTCTCTTAGATCATGTTCTACAGTTCCTTTCTCTCATATCTGGTTTCGCCCCTTACTCTGTTAGACGAATAATCGAGAAGAAAAAGTGGCTCACGTGCGCACATGCCCGTCGCGAATTAGCCACTACCCTCTGATTAACCACTCACCATCCTTTGTATTACCAATCGCCTTTGTGGCAAGGATATTTATAGATACAATGCTTGCGCCTCTTCGCTCCATCATACATATTGTCCTGTTCCTATCGCACTTAATTTAGGCGCTATATACACGTATTGACCGGTTCAGTTGGGCGACGCGAATTCACCAATTTTAGGTGTCCCTGTACGAGTAATATAGGAAAAAACGGCCACCAAAAAAACATATGCGGTCTCGTGATCCAGTAGTACAATACTTCAGAAGGTTATATCCCGTTTTTTTTTTATTTCAATATACTTATTCTATTTCAGACTTTCGTTTTCTTAAACATCCTTGTTAATTTTTAAACTATCGTTACTATCGATTTATCGAGTGTTGTATTGAAATACATAATTCACTGTATGTTAACTTTTTCTAGGGGAATTGGAGATGGATGGAACATGATTTGATTCGGGGTGATTTGGTAGCGGCTACATGTAATTTTTTTTCAGGAAGGTTGATAGGGCGCCAGAAGGCTGATCCGGGGCTGTTAGATGAATAGGACACTGTGAATACTATAGACAGAGTTTTGATCGGGTACAGCGATAATGGCGACCAAATTAACCGCCCTGGAAGGGATTACACAGCCATAGTGAATCAGGAGAACTTTTTTTGTTAGAAAGATTGAAGAAAGGGTGCATAATGGAACTCGAGGGATAATAAAGGCCATATAGGGGCTGGCGACATGTTTAGACTTCATCCAGGTTGGATATAGTGGTGTTATCGAAGCAGATCATTCTACGCCTTAAAAATGAGAGTCGCACTATTAGATCAACCTAATTAGGGAGTCTCGGTTTGAAACCTCGAATTTTTTTAAAATGGTAATTAAAAAGAAAAAAAAAGTTTTCCGGTCCCGATTTGATGAAATTGTTTCCTGTTTGAATTATTATTTCGCAGAGAAATATCAATCCATTAATCTATTTTTATATAAAACCACATATTTGGTGGGATTTATAATTGATTATATTACTAACAGTAGTTTAGATGTCGTATAACGATAATAATCATAATTACTATGATCCGAATCAACACGGGGCTGCTGGTGATGAAGGTTATTACCAGCAACAACCGTATGATGATTTGAATCAGCCTCAACAAGACTATTATGATCCTAATGTTCAATATCAACAGCAACCGTATGATATGGACGGATATCAGGATCAGTTCACCGGAGGTCAGCAGCTTCCTGGCCAACCTATGGGTGGCTACAATGCAGACCCAGAAGCCTTTTCTGACTTCAGTTACGGTGGACAAACTCCTGGTACTCCTGGGTACGATCAGTATGGTACACAATACACGCCATCACAAATGAGTTACGGCGGCCCAAGATCATCGGGTGCCTCGACTCCTATCTACGGCGGTGGTATGGGTAGTTACGATCCGACCCAATTTCAAATGTCTTCTAGTTTGCCTTACCCAGCTTGGTCTGCTGACCCTCAGGCTCCTATAAAGATCGAACACGTTGAGGATATCTTCATTGACTTGACCAATAAATTCGGGTTCCAAAGAGATTCTATGAGAAACATGTTCGATTACTTCATGACTTTGTTAGATTCCAGGTCGTCAAGAATGTCTCCAGCGCAAGCTTTATTGAGTTTACACGCTGATTATATTGGTGGTGATAATGCCAATTATAAAAAGTGGTTTTTTGCCTCTCAACAGGATTTAGACGATACTATTGGTTTCAGCAATATGACTTTGGGTAAAGTTGGTAAAAAAGCTAGAAAGGCATCTAAAAAATCCAAGAAGGCTAGAAAAGCTGTTGAAGAGCACGGCCAAGATATGGATGCATTAGTAAATGAGTTGGAAGGTGATTATTCTTTGGACGCTGCAGACGTCAGATGGAGAGCCAAGATGAACGCATTATCTCCCGAAGAAAGAGTCAGGGATATTGCCTTATACTTGTTGTTATGGGGTGAAGCTAATCAAGTCCGGTTCACTCCAGAAACCATTTGTTACATTTATAAGACTGCTTATGATTATTTGTTATCGCCTCAATGTCAGCAAAGACAAGAACCAGTTCCTGAAGGTGATTATTTGAATCGTGTTATTACGCCTTTGTATAGATTCATCAGATCTCAAGTCTATGAGATTTACGAAGGTAGGTTTGTTAAGCGTGAAAAAGATCACAATAAAGTTATTGGTTATGATGATGTCAATCAATTATTTTGGTACCCAGAAGGTATTTCTAGAATTATTTGCGAAGATGGCTCTAGATTGGTTGATATTCCTCAAGAAGAACGTTATTTAAAATTGGGTGAAATTGAATGGTCAAATGTTTTCTTTAAGACGTACAAGGAAATTAGAACGTGGTTACATTTTGTTACCAACTACAATAGAATATGGGTTATTCATGGTACTGTTTACTGGATGTACACAGCTTACAATTCTCCAACTTTATATACTAAGAATTATGCTCAACCATTAAACAACCAGCCTACTGCGTCTTCTAGATGGGCATCTGCTGCTATCGGAGGTGTCCTTGCTTCCTTTATTCAAATTATGGCCACTGTTTGCGAATGGTTATTTGTCCCAAGAGAATGGGCAGGTGCTCAACATTTAACCCGTCGTTTACTTTTCTTGATTATTATTTTTATTGTTAATTTGGCTCCAGTAGTATTTACTTTCTATTATGCGGGACTACAAACAGTTTCAAAGGCAGCACATGCTGTTTCTATCGTTGGTTTCTTTATTGCTATTGCCACGTTGCTTTTCTTTGCTGTTATGCCTTTAGGTGGTTTATTTACATCGTATTTGAATAAGAGATCAAGAAAATATGTGGCTTCTCAGACTTTCACGGCGAACTTCAATAAATTAAGAGGTTTAGATATGTGGATGTCTTATTTGGTTTGGGTTGCTGTTTTCGCTGCAAAGTTTGCAGAATCTTATTTCTTCTTAACTTTGTCTATCAGAGATCCAATTAGAATTTTGTCAACAACTACTATGAGATGTACTGGTGAAGTTTGGTTTAAAAACGAATTATGTAAACACCAAGCTAAAATCGTCTTGGGTTTAATTTATGCGGTTGATTTATTATTATTCTTCTTAGATACCTACATGTGGTGGATTATTGTTAACTGTATTTTTTCGGTTGGTCGTTCATTCTACTTAGGTATCTCCATATTGACCCCATGGAGAAACATTTTCACAAGATTGCCTAAGAGAATTTACTCAAAGATTTTGGCTACTACTGAAATGGAAATTAAGTATAAACCAAAGGTTTTAATTTCTCAAATCTGGAATGCTATTGTTATTTCCATGTACAGGGAACATTTATTAGCTATTGATCACGTCCAAAAGTTGTTATATCATCAAGTTCCTTCTGAAGTCGAAGGTAAGCGTACCTTGAGAGCTCCAACTTTCTTTGTATCCCAGGATGATAATAACTTTGATACTGAATTTTTCCCTAGAAATTCTGAAGCCGAGAGACGTATTTCTTTCTTTGCTCAATCATTGGCTACTCCAATCTTGGAACCATTGCCTGTTGATAATATGCCAACTTTCACCGTGTTTACTCCTCATTATTCTGAAAAAATTTTATTATCCTTAAGAGAAATTATCAGAGAAGATGATCAATTTTCAAGAGTTACCTTATTGGAATATTTAAAACAATTACATCCAGTGGAATGGGAATGCTTTGTTAAGGATACTAAAATTTTAGCTGAAGAAACTGCAGCCTATGAGAACGGCGATGACCCTGAGAAGTTGTCTGAAGATGGATTGAAGTCTAAGATTGATGACTTACCATTTTACTGTATTGGTTTCAAATCTGCTGCACCTGAATATACTTTAAGAACCCGTATCTGGGCATCTTTGAGATCTCAAACTTTATACCGTACCGTTTCTGGTTTTATGAATTACGCTAGAGCTATTAAATTATTGTACCGTGTTGAAAATCCAGAATTGGTTCAGTATTTTGGAGGCGATCCTGAAGGCTTGGAATTGGCATTAGAAAAGATGGCTAGAAGAAAGTTCAGATTTATTGTTTCTATGCAAAGATTAGCTAAGTTCAAAGATGATGAAATGGAAAATGCCGAATTCTTATTGAGAGCTTATCCAGATTTACAAATTGCCTATTTGGATGAAGAACCAGCCTTGAGTGAGGAAGACGAACCAAGAGTATACTCGGCTTTGATTGATGGTCATTGTGAGATGTTAGAAAATGGTAGACGTCGTCCTAAGTTTAGAATTCAATTATCTGGTAATCCAATTTTAGGTGATGGTAAAGCTGATAATCAAAATCATGCTCTTATTTTCCACCGTGGTGAGTATATTCAATTGATTGATGCTAATCAAGACAATTACTTAGAAGAATGTTTGAAGATTAGATCCGTGTTGTCTGAATTTGAAGAATTGAATGTTGAACATGTTAACCCATACGCGCCAAACTTGAAGACTGATGAAAGTAGTTCACAATCTGCGCCTGTCGCTATTTTAGGTGCTCGTGAATATATTTTCTCTGAAAATTCGGGTGTTTTAGGTGATGTTGCTGCTGGTAAAGAACAAACATTTGGTACTTTGTTCGCAAGAACTTTGGCCCAAATCGGTGGTAAGTTACATTATGGACATCCTGATTTCTTGAATGCTACTTTCATGTTCACAAGAGGAGGTGTTGCTAAAGCTCAAAAGGGATTACATTTGAATGAAGATATTTACGCTGGTATGACTGCTATCATGAGAGGTGGTCGGATCAAACATTGTGAATACTATCAGTGCGGTAAAGGTAGAGATATGGGTTTCGGTTCTATTTTGAATTTCACAACGAAGATTGGTGCTGGTATGGGTGAACAGATGTTGTCTCGTGAATACTATTACTTGTCTACTCAGTTGCCATTAGATCGTTTCTTATCGTTCTACTATGGCCATCCAGGTTTCCACATTAATAATATGTTTATTCAGTTATCGTTGCAAGTTTTCATGTTGGTGTTAGCTAATTTGAATGCTATGGCTCATGAATCTATCTTCTGTATCTATGATAAAAATAAGCCAGTCAAAGATCTTTTGATTCCATATGGTTGTTATAATTTTGACCCTGCTGTTGATTGGATTAGACGTTATACCTTATCTATTTTCATTGTTTTCTTTATTTCTTTCATTCCATTAATTGTCCAAGAATTAATTGAAAGAGGTATATGGAAAGCGGCTCAAAGATTTGTTCGTCATATCCTTTCTTTGTCTCCGATGTTTGAAGTGTTCGTTGCTCAGATTTATTCTTCGTCTTTATTCACTGACTTGACAGTTGGTGGTGCTAGGTATATTTCCACTGGCAGAGGTTTTGCTACTTCACGTATCCCATTTTCAATCTTGTATTCGCGTTTTGCCGATTCATCTATTTATTTAGGTGCAAGATCTATGTTGATTATTATATTTGGGTCTGTTTCACACTGGCAAGCACCTTTGTTGTGGTTTTGGGCATCGTTGTCTTCGCTAATGTTCTCACCATTCATTTTCAATCCACATCAATTCGCGTGGGAAGATTTTTTCATTGATTACCGTGACTTTATTAGATGGTTATCTCGTGGTAACACTAAATGGCACAGAAACTCCTGGATTGGTTATGTTCGTCTTTCAAGATCACGTATTACTGGTTTCAAGCGTAAGATAATTGGTGATGAATCTGAGAAGAGTGCTGGTGATGCTAGCAGAGCTCATAGATCGAATGTCTTCTTCGCTGACTTCTTACCATGCTTAATATATACGGCCGCTTTGTTTGTTGCTTACACTTTTATTAATGCCCAAACAGGTGTTTACGAAGATCCGAAGGAAGTCAATTCTGTATTAAGGCTTATTATCTGTGCTTTAGCCCCTGTTGTCATTGACCTTGGATGTTTGGCTGTTTGTCTTGGTATGGCTTGTTGTGCAGGTCCATTACTAGGTATGTGCTGTAAGAAGACTGGTGCTGTTATTGCTGGTGTTGCACACGGTGTCGCAGTTATTGTCAACTTGGTTTTCTTCGTTGTTATGTGGGTTTTAGAAGGTTTCGTTTTTGCAAGAATGTTGTTGGGTGTTATTACTATGATTTACATTCAAAGATTATTATTCAAATTCTTAACCTTATGTTTCTTGACAAGAGAATTTAAGAATGACAAAGCAAACACTGCCTTCTGGACTGGTAAGTGGTATGGTTCTGGTTTAGGTTACATGGCCTGGACTCAACCGGCTCGTGAATTCTGTGCAAAGACCATTGAAATGTCTGAATTTGCAGGTGATTTTATCTTGGCGCATGTCATCTTATTCTGTCAATTGCCAATTTTATGTATTCCATTAATTGATAGATGGCATTCAACTATGTTGTTCTGGTTAAAGCCTTCAAGATTAATCAGACCTCCAATTTATTCATTAAAGCAAGCTAGATTAAGAAAGAGAATGGTTAGAAAGTACTGTACTTTATATTTTGCTGTGTTAGTATTATTCTGTGTTGTCATTATTGGTCCAGCTGTTGCTTCTGGACAAGTAGGTGATATTGAGCCATCAGGATTGGAGAGTGGTGCATTCCAAGGCTTATTTCAACCAAGGCACAAGAAGAACAATGATACAGGTAAAGGAGCTAGTAGCTATGCATCTACTACATACACCTATTACAGTTTCACACCAAGCACCCAAAAGACAGCCTTCGCAACTAAGGCTTAAGGGGTCACTTAAAATCTTCGATCAACGAAGAAGTCTTTCTTTTATTTTACTTTTTTTGACGAATTAATAAGGGACTTGGATGATTTTATTTATCAAAACAAAAAATCTAATCATTACAGTTTGTATTTATTAACTCATTGTGTGTATCTATACATTTATATACTTTTATTTGTTTTTATAATTGTTCTATTAAATTTAAGGATTATTTTATTATTTGGCACCGTAGTAAAATTTTTGGTGAAAACAGTTCATTACACAATCGCGACAATGAAATCACGGCCACCTGTGCTATACTAGAAAATTAGACATATATAGATATCTAGTTGTCAATCTATATAAAAAAATAAGTCATGGCATTGTTAAGGAGGGCATATGCATTACCCAAATCAACAAAGATCTTGCTAGGGATATTGATCTCTATAACTTCACTTATATTTTTCATAAAACTTGCTTTCTACCGTTCAGCTATTGTTAATGGAAATAAGGAACAAGAAGAAATCGTTTTCCACAACATCCAAGTATCATATTTGCAATTGATACCACGTTACACTATATTCTACCCATGGGTCATAGTTACTGCGATCTTTGCTGAAATTTCGGTTGTTTCATTTATAATATCAGGCGCTATATTGGCGGTATCAACCAAGTATGTGGAAAAGTTCTGGGGATATAAGGAGGTCGTTAAGTTTGTCTTGGTCTTAGGCTCATTTACCAATTTGATAACTGTCCTAATTACAATTATTTGTAATTTGATGAGAGGCGATGTTGAGGGAATGGATAAGCCTTTAGGTGGAGGTATTTCATACTACTTTGGGTTTTTAGTGGTTTTGAAGCAACTTATTCCAGAGCATAATATAGTGTTGTTTCAAGGATTAATCAATTTCAGAGTAAAACATTTGCCGTTCATATTACTTAACGTCGTATCTGTGTGGTCTTTGTTAATAAGCCGCTCTTTATACCCAGCAATCCCATCTATTGGGAGCTTCATCATATCCTATAATTACTTGCGGTTTTATCAATCGTTTTTAACTGACCCATTATTGCCAATTACAATGGCGAATGGCGGTTCAGACAGTTCAGGCTCATTAATTACAGGTGATGCGTCCGATACTTTCCAATTGGTTGAGTTTTTCCCTCGTATTTTAAAGCCATATTTGACTGTTCTATTTGACGGTTGCTATGATTTGGGTTGTATGTTAGGAATTATTACCCCATTTAATGATGATTCGATTGAACAAGGTAATATAAGAGCCCAGAAAAGACTGGAGCAAGCGAACCAAACCCAAAAAAGTGTGGCCAACTCGGTGGCTGAAAGAAGAAGACAGGTGGCATTACAGGTCATTGAGGATAGAATAAATAAAGAGACTAGAAAGTAACATGCTTGTATATCTATATTAGTACATAGGTTATAATACAACGATATGATCGATTGAACGAAAAATTACACAAAAACGTGAATCGATCTCAATTAAAAGAACTAATTAAAACTATTAGTAGCAAACAATAATATACAAAGCAGAATACTAAGTGAAGTTGTGGAAGATGTTCAATGCAGGTTCTAATTCATTTAAACCCAAATATCAGAAGCTGAAAGGCTCTCTACCATTTCCAGCTACTTTTAATAAAATACTGAATCTTAAAAAGCTGAACTTAACCACATACGTTGCAATTTTATTGTTTATTTGGTTTTTCTTGAATCCATTCAGTTTAATTAGCAATATATTTCGTGGAGATTCACTGTTGGAATATCCCCCGAGCCATCCATTAACCAGTAAGCATATTATCGAATCGACTTCTAAATATATATACCCACCCATTGAGGATGCACCATTATTGAAACAGCTTGGTGTCAGTAAATTAGTTCATGAGTCTAAAATAAGAGATGCAAATGCCCCTGAGATCGAGAAAACTATTGTTAGATCATTAAATGCCTTTGATGATGCAAATCCTGAAACCCAGAATGCGAAGGAAGAGAACGAAAATGCGGTTCTGAATTTATCCAGAGCTAAGAATCGGTTTAAGAATCAAGATAAAGTGGTTTATAAACCAAAAAGTAGCAAGAATTACCCTGATATTGTGATTGTCACTGCAGTGGATTTTGAAAAATATTCGGTAGATGCTTTAACCAAAATCGTACAAAATAGAGTTGATTACGCTCATGAGCAAAATTATGGTGTGTATGTTCGCTGGTATCAAGAGTTTCTTCCTGCTTTAAATTCCATGGATATTTTGAAATCCAAGGAAAAAGCTAAATGGATAAGGATATTTTGCTTAAGAGCTGCGATGTTTGCATTTCCTGAAGCAAAGTGGTTTTGGTATATTGATCAAGACTCATTAATCATGGATATGTCTATTAACTTGCAAGACTACTTATTGTCGCCCGAAGCGTTAAATCCAGTAATTTTAAAAGAGCAACCAATTATCCCACCCGATGGAAGAATTAAAACTTATCGTAACTCTAATGCAGACTTGACTAAATTAATTATAACACAATCAGAAAATAAAGTGGAATGTCATTCATTTTTAGTTAAAAATGATTATGTTGGAAGGGCTATTATTGAAGCATGGGCATTTGAGTTATTTTCGAAGTATGAAAATTTCCCATATGGACCTGATTCTGCTTTGACACATATGTTACAGTGGCACCCATTCATTTTAAGTAAATCAAGCATCGTGCCTACGAGAACAATTGCTGCACAGCATAGCCCAATTGATTTACCCGTTGATAAAAATGGTAAAGCCGGTGACCATATTCATTATTACGACGGTGATTTGGCAGCCTTTTGGTCCAATTGTAATTCTCAAGAAGAGTGTGAAAAACTTTTAGACCTTTATTATTCTAAATTGAAGGGAAAAAAAAGTAACCAGGACTAGATAACTTCCCGGTGTTGCGTCGCCATGAATATAGCATCTAGTTATATATGTATATTAAGTAAAGACTTTTATAAATTCTTATAGATTCATTTTCATTATCAAAAATCTTCTATGCATAAGTCTTGAATTCCTCGAGCAACATTAGATTCCAATTCCTGAGTGATGCCTTGGTCCATTTTGTATTCTCTTATCAACTCCCAACTCTTGATTATACTATCCATTCTTATTATACTTGACTCATCACTGATATTTACTGTTGGAATAATCTCTTTAATCTTCAAAAAGATTGCGAAGAATGATAATTCACGAAAAGAAGAATGTTCACTATAAGGTAGGGTGTAAATTCTGTATAAAGATTCATCATGATTCACTTTCTTTGATTTTGAAATTAGCGACAGCAAAGGAGATTGTGGTAATATATTCTCAATAAATGAAAATGTTGGTTGAGTTTTCATGATCTTCACTAGGTCGTGACAAGAACTCGAAAGTCTATTTAAATCAGAATTATGTTTCATATTGGAGTCCTCTTCATCCTTTGAAGTTGCCGCGTATTTATTCAGAAATGACCAACCAGTTGGACGAAGTCCAACACATCTTTCAAATTTTTCAAAATATCTGTTGTGATTGAAATAATTAGATAGTTCCTCAAGAGAACTAACGATTTTCATGGGAACCAAATGAACCATACACTCAGAATCGGATCCACCTAAATCATCATTTGTTAAGACTTGGTTCAAATAGCTATCATCAAAAGACTTTACTAAGTCTACTTTATCATTTCGACTGTTAATGGTCAGAACATAAATAGGACAATTATTTAATCTCTGCAGAATTGATATAGCCAATCTTTCCTTTCCAATGACATAGGTTCCTATTAAAACTAAAAACTTTTTCTTTTTGTATTGATTATCTCGTTTGGTAATGAAATCGGTAATCCTTGATTGTTTCAATACTCCGAACCAAGCCGTGAATAATGAATCTGTAGTTTCAGTTTCCCCTTGTGAATAAATCAAATCATAGAACATATCAGAAACAGTATTGCATACTAACTCTTGTTTAGGAAAATTATATGATGGAGACATATATGTAGTATCCAAATAAACTTTATCTAGACAAAGTTCGCCTTGGTTGGTTATATGAAACGCCATTAATTTAGGGTGATCTAAAATTTCTCTATTAACTCTGAAGTCTCCACAATGTAAAACTCTTAGCCTCTGGCCATTGTTAGACAATGATTCAAACAAGAATATCACAGAACCAGGGCAATGGTTTGCAGTAATAGGAGTAACAAATAATCCTGGAAGTGCTGGATCATCTGTTTGAATGAAACCATCTTCAGTTTCAACATCAGTATCAAAGTTTTGTATTAAATATCTTGTATTCATTTCTAACGGCATAATAAATTTTGGATCAATGCTGAACCGTAAAGTCAACAATTTAGCAGTGATTGTGGAACAAAAAATAATCTTTTTGTATTTGCTTTCATCTTCGAAGTCATCGCCATCTTTAAAAACTCTCTCATAACACCACTTTTTAGTGATTCCACCATAGTGGTCGGAATGGAAGTGTGTTAAAAAATACTTGCTAATTGATCCATGGGGAGAATAACTGAATGCATCTACTGCTATTTGATAATTAGAATTGACTGATGCCGGAAAAGTTAATACCTTTACATCGGGAATCTGTGCTTTAGACCTTGATGCTGATATCGTTGCTGGTGGTTTTATCACTTTAGGTTTTGAATGTTCGATTTTGGTTTTTTTATTCAAATATTTCTCTTTTTCCTTACTTGACGGTAACAGATGTCCATTTTTTCTCTTATTTTTAGATGTATCCATATCTCTGTTGGTTGTTTCCTTCATTTCTTCTTTCTTTAGATCATTTGATTCGCTTTTAATGGTTGGTACATCTTCCTTTAAAGCGACCAAGGATAAACATTCTTCTATATGAAGAATTCGATTATCCATAGAAAAATTAACCAAGCTACGGTTACACATCGGACAATTTACCGCCTCAACATCTGATTCTCTTTCTCCCACGGTTTTAATTTCGCCTCCAGTATTTATCTCTTTTTGCTCTAATTTCACACCAAACGATTCGACATCATCAGTGAGATCTATAACTTCACAAGGATTGAAACTATTTTGAACATCTATATCGTTACCTGTCTGTGTGAATTCAAATATTGATCTTTGCCGCTTGGATATAATAGAAGTTTTCTTCTGATTAACTGGCATTATTATCTCAGCTTATTGCATGTTTCTAGAATGTTAATTACCTTTTATAATTGATTGATACTTGTAACAAGAATCGTAGCGAATTTTAATCAGCATTTACTGTGATCGTATAAACTTCTTTCTGGATTTTAGTGTTATATTAAAAATTAGTAAACATAATATGCGACTTCAAATTTATGATATCACATCGATCCTGATCGTTATTTGAACGCATATCAATCATGGGATTACTCAGCATAATAAAGAAGCAGAAGATCAAAGATAAAGAGATTAGAATACTAATGCTAGGATTGGATAATTCTGGAAAGACTACAATTACGAAAAAGCTATTAAATCAAGATATATCAACAATTTCGCCAACACTAGGATTTCAAATTAATACTATCAACTACAACGATTTTAACTTGAATGTTTGGGATATCGGTGGACAGACTAGTCTTAGAACCTTTTGGGGAAACTACTTTGATCAAACAGACATTGTAATATGGGTGATCGATTGCTTGAGTTTAGAGCGGCTAAACGAATCTTATCAGGAACTCAGAGAAAAAGTTATACTACAAGACAGACTCATTGGAATTTACTTAGTAATTTTGATCAATAAAATAGATTTATTAGACCCAGAATTACATGAAGACATCTGTGAACAAGTGGCCAATACATTAGATTTGCCGCTGCAGATCCCTCAAAAAGACAAATGGACTATCGAGATGATAAGCGGAAAATCTGGCGAAGGGCTTCCAAATATCTTAAATTGGATAGTAACTAGGGAGTACTAAACCTATGTCAAACACGACTATATTCTCTTTTAGTCTATCTATTTAACGTATTGGGATATCTACAAGCGTAACACGATATTTAATGCAAAAACGCGTTTACATTTCTTAAAACGGTATAATTTAATTTTCAGGAAAATCCTGGTTACCATTGCAAATTAATACTTCAGAAACTTAAACCACTGAAAGAAATAAATTATCTTCATCTTTATTTAACCCAGAAGTATATTCGAACGTTACGCTTATTGTAAGTCTACTCGATAGAGGTATAGATAAAAGTCGAGAATTAAGGAGATTTACTACAGCCAACCATATCCCTTGTATAGTACGCATCTGTCAATTTCCATCCACAGGTTAAAAAGAAGACACTACGAACTCAATGCTTTCGGAAATCTTAATAACAAAACTTCTTGAATCTGAAAATGCTGAGAATAGCAACTTGATTGAGATATTGGGAAATATTAAGCCTTCGAAATCGGCCAACACTTCCATCACGTCCATAGTTAGAGGATTATTCACCAAGAACAAGAAGTTACTATCTTCATTAAATACTGTTTCGATTGAGTTGGCTAATAATAGTGGAAATTCAATTCAATTATTTAAAAACTTCGTTAATGATTTTATAATATGGCTCGAAGAAGATGGAGTGGTGCTATTCGAGAAATATTTATCCCAGATATCTAATCCAGAAAATTCTCTTGAATCCTCGTCGCCTGAAGGCTCAATATGTTTCGGTAAACCGATCTTGAATTGCTTAAATTATATTAAGTTTATAAATGAATCTCTCCTCATATTAAGAAATCCATTTATTGTCGATAAATTGTCATTTTTGAAAGAAAGATTGGCTGAACTAATTGACAACTACCACGAATTCTTGGAGGTGAAATATTTGAATAATATAAGCTTCAACGACGTGAAATTATTCTGTGAAACTGACAAAGCTAACTCAGTGTCTAAGTCCAAAAGCTTTGCAAAAGTATCCAGCTTTTTTAAGATGGATCAGATCGTTGAAAGAACTAAAAATGAAAGGCTCTTCATAATTAAGGATGAACTTAAGTTGGCGAATGTTGAGTTAATGCTTTTGAATTTATCAGGAAGTAGCTACAATTCTTTAGCACTCTTATCAGTTCCTACTAACCAAGACTTACCTAGATCTTTAATGTACCCTCCATTCAGAGTCAACGAACTTTCTATTGTTTACATAAAATCGATGAATCAGATTTTGTTGAAGTCTATTAATTTTTCATCAAAGCATAGCTCAAACTCAGTGACAATCAGTTGTGAGGATCCTAGATTATTGTACGTGTGGTACAAGAAATTGGAACATATCTTCCCGCTGGAGGAAAGTGACTCTCCAGTAAGTCAATATTTTTTGATCAATGCGAATAACAAGTCAAACGATATAAGAATGTCAGGTCTAGGTATTAACGTGCTATCAGACTGTCAGCATAAGCAAGAGCTTAATCCAAGAGAAAGTTTTGGTGCAAGGCATTCAAAAAATAATATACAAGCAAATCCTATATTCAACTCCAATGAAAATGATAAACATGCTTCGAAAATCAGATCCCACAATCCTGCTTCTGAAGCTTCTTTGGCAGAAGTACAGAAACCATTTAATCCACCGTTTATGAATAAGACAAGAAAATCGTCAAGTTCATCCATAAAATCAACTGATTCAACGGAAGCAATTAAATTTCAGTATGACCGCTCTTTGAATATCATAAATGAGAACTTATCTAAAGTAAACTGCAACAAAGACAGTGGCATGGAGAACGAGGACCCTACTACTCAATATATCAAGCCTGTGAAACGCAATTTCGTCAATGCAACCGATAGTTTGTATGTACTCGAGAACGAAAGTAGGCCAATATCATCGCAAGCTGAAATTGGCTTCACAACGCCAGATCTTAGAGATGTACCTAAGGGAGAAGTTGATACCCATGCAAATAAAGCCAACATATCTGAAAGTTATCAATATCAATCTAACCATAAGTTTTCTTCAGTTCCAGATTTATCTAACACCGAACCGAAAAACAAGCTATACCAGTTATCGTCTGGTTCAGCTATTGACATTACAAATTTTGGTAAGAATCATAATCCTTCATTCAGTGTGGAATATGGACTTTCAAGTATGAGTGCTTTAGGAAAATCAAACCAAAATGAAAGTAGTGAGGATATTATCAAGATGGAGAAAACCTTAAAGCAAAAGAGAAAATCCATATTCGGTCTTTTTAAGAAATCATCTAAGCTGCAAATGGGCTCAACTGATTATATTGATAAAAAGGACAATGTGGAATTGCAGCTGGATAATTCGAGTGCTAAAAAGGAAATGCCACCTACGAGCGAAAGTGTAAGTAATCACAAGGGCTTGAGAATTGAGACCAATATGCCAATAGATACTGAAGATCCATTGTCACTGGTATCCGATAAGTCATTTTCACAGACCCCTAAATCCGCCTTACCATCACCATTTGCCTTACCATCATCAACATCCACGTATTTCTTCAAACAATATAAAAATGGATCAAGTGCAACTATCAACAAGCAATCGCAAGAACATCTACTGGATCAAGTAGCTGAGGACGAAGAAGATCTAGTAATACCTCAAAACTTGAAAGATGTCGTCAATGATGATAGGTCAATTGACTTTTATATTTCACCATGTTCTCCCGAAGCAATGAAAATATCTAAATGGAAGCAGAAGTACGGTAAGTGGGAAATGATAACGCTTCATCAGAATTTGTTCATAAAAATCGTTGTTAACTACGACCTGAATAAAAGCTGGTTAATTATTTTTAAGGAAATCTATGACCAGGAATATAATGAAGTTATTGATAAACCAGTATTATTAATGGAAATAAATGCTAAAACCACTTCTATTAGACAATCATCTGCGTTAGATTTACAAATTAACGCTGTGAATGCTATCAGTTCCGAGAAGTTATTGATTATGATTAGATGTAAAAGTGGAAACTTGTCAAATGCAATCAGTACTAATCTAGATAATGTTTTGGGAGTTCTTAGTCATATTGGGAAACCCCAAAAGTTTGCATCTTCCAATGTTAGTTTATCATCATCAATTATGGACATGAAGGATAAACCAAGTAATTCATCAACATTGACTAGCCTAAACTCCTCTTTAAACAATGAAGCTAATAAGCAATCCGGACAATTGCCAGTTGCAAAATCGTTTTTTTCATTAAATTCGGCAGATATCACAAATTCTAATGTTTTGAGTAATCCGGACAATTCTAAATTCCTTTTATTAAATCAAATGACGACCAGGTTACAAAAACAATTAGAGTCATATAACCTGATTAATAACCCATCGTCATGGAAAATCTTGTCAATGTACACCCTACGTGTGTTCATGATATCTGACAATTTTACCAACAAAAACTACTATAATTTAGTTCTTTCTGGTCCACTGGAGGATGTTCTGGATTACAATTGGTTAATTTGTGAGGAAGACAAGTTTAATCGTATTGAAAGAATAGGGAAAGCTGGCCTATTAATTAGAGCAACAGAGGATGACATATATATGATAGAATGCAGAGGCAAGAAGGAATTCAAAGCCTTGTTCGAAATATTTTAAACATAATTATTATTACATAGAATATACACATATTTAATAACATTAGGTCAATCGAGATGATTTGTATTATTAACACGTCGTAAGTTGCAACTTTCTGGATATATACTTATGGATTTGGTTAATTTTTAAGAATTTTACAAATTTTGCATCAATTTAAGAAAACTCTGCGACACTAAAACAAACATTGAAAATGATACTAGAACTACATTAAAGATATTGTAAAATACATACACTTATATTACGCTCTCCTACCCATTTATATGAGAGATGATATCATTTTATCATTAAGCGGAAACTACTATTCAATATTGATAGATATATGTATGTATGACAAAATACAGTCATTATCATCCGATAGACGGCTAATTTTATTTATTCATAAGTAATATGCATTGAGATTAAGGATTATCTAATCGTCTTTCTTTGGACCCCATTTAAGTCCTAAAAAGCCATCATTACTATTGAGACTTCCGACTTTAGGAACATATTTCTTAGATTGAAATTTGGGTTCTTTGATGTAGATTCTCTTATTACCAGGCATATCTAATGCAATATACAAAAACTCAGCACTCCAGAACGTTCTATCGACTTGTTCAAGTGTAACAGTACCGTACTTTCCACTAGGAGATTCAACCTGAAATTTCATGAATAAGTAGTCTTTGCCATCAGCACCTCTAGTTCTTACCGATTGAGCAGGCCTGTTACGGGCCCATTTATCGGCACGTTGTTCACCATGCGCTTTGACTCTTTGACCCTTTTTGAAATCCAATGCTTCGTGTGCTAACTCATTACTTTCTAACATCCTGACGGCTTTGTTGAACGTTCTCGTATCTCCAGAAGGAAGAAACAACTCGGAAAGAATCAAATAAACCACCAAGACAGATATACATGTACCTCCAAGCACAATGACAGATGATAATGAAAATGTGAATGCTCTACCAATTCTGTTAAAAAGGAATTTTCCTTTAGCATTTTTATCATGTGGAGGAGGAGGAGGAGGTGGTGGTGGTGGAGGGGTTGTAGTAGTAGAATAGTTGTTGTATGAAAGTATGTTACGGTTCAAAATATTTGTATATCTGGCTTCCAACCCATTGTGTCTAATTGACCGTATGCTAAGTGAGTGATAAATTGAAGGATCTTGGGCGAGATTTGCAAAGGATCTTGTTGACAAAACAGAAATTGGCCTAGTCTTGGCCAAATTTTGGGATGCTCTCAAGCATATGCCCAATGTCGATATCGATTTCATATTAGTATTATCAAATAGACTCTTGTTGTATTCACTAGCAAATGGGACATAATGTATGTAATTTATTGAAATTGTCGTTGGAGGACCGGACGTGCCGAAACCATTTTCATCACACCTATTCTGATGGCTGCAATCGTTTCACACAGAGATATATATGCCGCTTATGATCCACTTGATCCCATATCTGTGATGTGTCTCACAATATCTCAGCCTCCTAAATGTGTATAAGTCTTATGATTAGCGTAGCTTTTACGTACATTATTCACTACTTCACGACCAGGGATAAATCATGACTTGCAGCTTGAAAGGTTAGGTAAGTGACAGCTTCAAATAAAATGATGATAATAGTCTGTCTGATACCAATAATAGCGACATAACCCATCAATTGACCGTATTACAGTTAAATAGCGATTTATGTCCCGCTCCATACTAAAATACAGATATATGAATTTGTCCAGAAATCTACCTAGATTCGCCCTTGTGGCCTAATTGGTTAAGGTGTTATCCTCCGGTTTACGAGTTAAGATAATGATTGCGGGTTCGAGTCCCGCCTCGGGCTTATCGCAACTTTTATTTATTCAATTTTTGATAACCTGAGAGAACAGACACAACTGAATTGCAAGGCAATTTTTTTTGTTAATTATTAAGAAATACGAGAATATTATGGATATGATGACCATTATGACTATGTAAATCCTTTATCGGCTGTAGCCATTCAACCAAGCACCCAAATATTTGCAGGATAATGAGACCCAGCGCTAGAGATAAAAGCAGTCACAAGAGGGTCAAACCCTATGATATTAATTTTGTGTAACATCGTGCAAATTTCTCATCTCGCTCTCAGATTGAGGAAATTTTCACTCAGTACTATACCGAAAATTACAGACTTCTAAAGAAAAGTATATTAAAAAATTTTAAAACTTAGTGATTTTGTAAAACTAGTAATCAGTAACAATGGCCAAGATCAGTCAAGGTAAATATCAATTTAATGAAGACCAACATAATGGATAGCAAGATACGTGAACGAAGCAAATCGAGTGGATGAAAAATTTATGAAGAATGATGAAAATTGAATAAAAATTGAATGAAGTACGAATAGTCAATAAAGATGTATGAAATGCTAAGATTTCGAAGTAGTGACAATCGAACCTTATCGAGGAAAACAAATGACAAGGACAACGTGTATTACAGGAAGCGATGCCGAATAAGTCTTCGATATTTAAGACACCAACAAACATCCGTTATAGAGATAGTTCGACATGTATTTTGTAAAATCCTAGTTGGAGTACTAAGGACATAACATACTAACAAATATAGACGTTTCTTCTTCCCGTTCTAAAGCTAGAAAGGCTCACTTCTCTTCCTCTTCTGTTGAAAGAAGAGCTTTGATGTCAGCTCCATTATCTAAGGAATTAAGAGAACAATACAAGATCAAATCTATCCCAATCAGACAAAATGACGAAGTCTTAGTTGTCAGAGGTTCCAAGAAGGGTTCCGAAGGTAAGATCTCTTCTGTTTACAGATTGAAATTCTCCATCCAATTGGAAAAATTACAAAAGGAAAAGTCCAACGGTGCTTCTGTCCCAATCAACATTCACCCATCTAAGGTTGTTGTCACCAAATTACACTTAGATAAAGATAGAAAGGCTTTAATCCAAAGAAAGGGTGGTAACGCAGAATAAATTAAATTCATATTGTAATAAATTAAAATTATATACGTGTTAGGAAAGTTTTTCTTGTTTATTTAATATGAATGTACTTTAATGGTTTTGTATTTGAATTCGCCGAATTGTAGATTATGCATTATCCGAATCTTGGTGACAGGTTATCCCTGAGTCAGAGTCTACTGCCTAATGAGTTTAATCTCAATAAGATAATAGAACGTCTAAACAAGGACTAGCAGTTTCGATACTAGACGCATGTAATCTTGTAGCATCCCATGGATATTAGAAGTATATAATACTTTAGTATTCTACATTTATGACCTTATATTCGAGAAATGATGTTCACTGTCAAAATAATAATTGTGAGAAGGCAATAATTTATTAATGATAAAGCAAGTGAACTGGACACAAAATTACTGGGGTATTTCAATTTAAAGTGTTTTTATTTAAAATTATACACTTAATACAATAAAAAAGATGTCATCCCCATTGGGCCATACGGAGGACGACAGTGAGTTGTTTAACGGGTTTGGATCTGCACCCTTACAAAGAAATGCAAGCTCTGGGAAGAGAAATCAAAGGTGGTCATTTCATGATAATTTAAAACCGAACTTAGTAGAGTTGCCATCAGCAGCTGGCGCTTTAGGACAAAGGAGAATGAGTGACATTACTGGAATCGATGGAGTTCATACTGAAATCGATCCTTATCATATATCACCGGCACAATTATATTCTACTGAATCAGGCAGATTATTCCATGCGGGCAAAATATGTATTGCATTAGCAGGTTTACCGGGAAGAGGTAAAACGCATTTGTCAGTCTCATTGACTAGGTACTTGCGTTGGTTAGGTGTGAAAACACACCTGTTCCATTTGGGTAATTATAGAAGAGCAAACGCCGAAGATGACTTGCGTCATGATTTGTTTGTGCCTACACCTGATAATCCCAAAGCTCATGAATTCCGTCATAAGATCGTAAACGAATGTCTTAATGATATGTTGAATTTTTTCAAGAATGACAAAGGACAGGTTGCTATTTATGATGCCGTTAATGCATTACCGGAGTACAGATTTGAGTTACATAAGAAGTTTACTGAGTTGAACATTCAGATTATATTCGTGGAATCTTCAGTAACCAACGATGCGATAATTATGAAAAACATGGAAGAAGCAGCAAGATCTTCGCCAGATTACCAGAATTGGAACTACGAACTGGCGTATAAGGATTATAGTGAAAGAATTAAGGTTTTGACTCCATTTTATCAGGAAATGGGTGAAGACGACGATAAGAATAAATTGTCGTATATCAAATTCATCAATTTTGGAGATAGAATAGAAATGCACAATTCCAATTATGGATATCTAATCAACAAGGTTGTATTCTTTCTAATGAATTCAAGAATTAAACTGGGTTCTGTTTTCTTTGCACGTTGCTACAAGAATTCATTAGACTATTCATATGACCCTCCATTGGATGAAGCAGGCATTCAATACTCAAAAAACCTCACAGAAACCTTAACAGAATATTTGAAGGAACAAGGAAAACCATACTTTGATGACGAAGATAAGACAAGTGGTCCAGGCAGCTCGGCTAGACCACAAGTTAGCAGGGAGTTGTCTGTGGATGAAAGACACCCTGCAGCCGGTGTCGACGGTGTTGATGACAATTCTTTTGTCGTATGGACATCTGTTAAAACAAGAACTATCGAATCTACTCAATTTTTTGCCGAAAAGGATATTAACATCAGACACAGAATTCAGCTATCTCAGAAGAACCCAGGAATCGTCGGAAACATGACTACCGGAGAAATCGCCAAGAAGTTTCCAACAGAATATGAACAATTTTTGAAAGACCCATATCATCATAGATTTTCGAGGGCAGAGCTGTATCATGATTTAGCGATCAAGATAGAGCCCTTGATTTTAGAAATGGAAAGGATGAGCGGTGACATCTTGATAATTGCCGATGATACTGTTTTAAAAGTATTTTACGGATATTTAATGTCTTGCTCTTGCTACGATATTCCATCTTTACACTTTTCAACTGATGAAATTATTGAAATAAAATTTAATGCATATTCGAACTCTTCTAAACGAATTGAAATTAAAGATTTCAATTAGCTTACTCTATTGTTTTTATAGTTATGTATATGTATATACTAAAGAAATATTATCTGATCACATGATTCACAGAATATAAAATTCCCTTTGATCTTTCATCTACTGCAAAGTATAGTGTTAAGAACTAAGTACCAATATGTCAGATCCGTTGGTGCCTACAGCCATTTATAAAGCTCCTGATGTTACTGAAGGACAGAAGTTCCATCCTGGTGAAGGTCCTCATACAACAAATGGGAAGACTACACAAATTTCAGATATTGTAATAAAAGCTGGTGGTGAAGACAGAGACAAACCAAGTGATGCTAAAGATACACAATTAGGACAATTGAGAGCAAAATTAACCGCTTTGCAAGATCAATTAAATATTTTCTTAACTAAAAGAATGGATCACGAGAAAAGTAGATCACAAGAAGAGAAGGACTTGGAAAGACAGGTCTTGGACGAAGGAGTTGATGACGATAGTGATTAGACCTAATGAATGGTTGGTCAGTTAGGACGTATGAGAAATGCAGATAAGCGTAAACATGATAGGTATAAATGACTACAGGTTTCAAGATATTCCAGAACGAATCGACAAATTGCCATGATTTCTCCTGTCTTCTAATTGTTCTACAGAATCAGATACCCTTAACATATGTATATTAGACTATTGAAATAGTAATTTAATGCATTTAATACAAATAATATGAAGCTATATGAGCTGATATGGTACAAATAGTAAGTGTGATGTCAAGGCTTAGCCTCAGAATCAATTCGTGATGTGTATCAGAAAGATAGAATCTATTTCTTCACATTTCCAACGATTTGGGTCATGTTTTCAAGAGTCTTGTCTAAAGTAGTCTCTAAATAATTCTTCTTTTTAGATAAGTTCTCCTTGCTTTCATTAAATTCCTTCTCGTCTTGAGACATTTCTTTCAAGTAAGAATTCACATCATTTTTAACAAAAGCTTTACCAATACCCTGCCACACTGCTTCATTATCCTTTGTATTGCATACTTTATTTAATGATTTATTAGTCAGTTGAATGAGATTTAAGTTTGTATTAACCCTATCTAATTGTAGATTACACATGGATAATTCCGCTCTGGAAACGTTTAATTGATTGTCCATTTCAATCAAAAGTTTCTGTAAAGCTTCAGGATTCATAGACATTGTGTAAGGTAATGTTGATTAGGAATTATTTGGAAAAATGTGTATTTTGTGAATAAGCAAAGTAATATTGGTATGGTTTTATATTTTGGCGATAAAATCTCGAGATTTTCAATCCAAAATTTTCAAATGATTTCAAAGCTGATTTTATACATTAAACAATAACACATTTTACAATGCTCAGAGGAACTAGCAAATCCTTCAGAATATCAGGATCGGGATTAGCCGGGTTGCGTTATCAAGCACCAAAGGTGTTTTTATCTACGTCGAGAACATCTGGTGCTACCGAAGGTTCACTTAAATCTTTTGTTCCAAAGCCATCAAAATCGTTAGGAGAAACTACCGTAGAAAACAATATTAAGTCGGATACTAACAGATTATCTAAGACTTTGACTAAGTTTTGGGAAAAGGTTGATGCTGTTCATAATAAAGATTTGAACCAATATGAAGTGCAATTAGATGGGAAAACATTAAAGACTCCATTAGGCTTTCCATTATCATTACCGGCCGAGAAAAAACAACTTGCCTACCTTGTTGCACACGAATGGGCAAATTTGCCAGATTTGAAGGTGAAAATTAATGCGTTACCTTTGACATCACTCTCTTCTCGTGCCATCGACTTATACAATGTCCACAATGACGAGAATGTTGACCGTGAAATGATCTCCAAAGTTGGAAATGTCGACGACATCAAAGTTAACTTGTTGAAGTATCTTGACACTGATACATGCTTAATTTTCACTATATTGGATGAGTATGAAGGTAAGTTGAGAAGCAAACAAGATGAGTTATATTTCCCATTAATCAAAGAGTTTGAAGACTATTTCACAGCCTATGCTAAGAGAAAGGGTAATTTATTGAAAAGCGACAACGAAAGAGTAACTCTCAATTATTTAGACTGTGAGACAGACGGTTTAAGTGGTAACAGACAATCGATTACTACACAGAATATTGTCATGAGTTGGATGAACGATTTATCAATGTACGAATTAGTTGCCCTAGAGAGAGCTATTTTAACGGCCAAGTCATTTTTGTGTGGTGCATCATTGTTACGTTCGAACTGCTCGAGTGAATCTAGAATGAACGAATTGTATCAGGTAAATAAATCTTCTCCAGCCGACCATTACCATAAGACCGTTGAAGAACTTGTCGAATTAGGTAACTTAGAAATTATTTTCCAAACTGAAGAATGGGGTGAAGTTGAAGATACACATGATGTTGATAAAGTTGATTGGCTCAGACACTTATCGAGTAGCGCTTTATTAACCTATTAAATAATTTTTCGTCTTTCGTCCTCTGCTCTTTTTGTAAATAGTTAACAGCAATAGTGCGAAATTGAAATATCAACAACTAACGAGTTTTAAATTGAAATAAATGAATAATTTACATTACTATTAATATCTACATCCAAAAGATTCATATATTAAAGGACGGGAATTCAATTCTGCATTGATTATCTTTCATTATTCAATTTTTATTAATATTTTCTCAACACACTAGTGATATATCTCATACGCTAGACGCGTAAAGCACATTCATTGTTTGTGTAAGTAATAATGGCATCTAAGTCAAATAGCAGGGTGGAAAATGACGAAAAACATCCACAACCACTCTGTTTAACCATGGGAAAGACACCAAGAAGGGTGAAAGTTTATTTATTAAAAGGAGAAGACTGGTTGGATAATGGAACTGGCTATTGCATTGGAGAGATTGAAAGCGAAACAAATAAACCATACTTTATAGTAAGGAATGAAGCGGATTCGGATGATATAATATTGAAGTCATACCTTGAAGGGTCTATTCAATATCAACGACAGCAAGAAACATTGATTGTGTGGACAGATTTGAAAGGCAAAGATTTAGCATTATCGTTCCAAGAGACGGAAGGTTGTGCAGATTTATGTGAATTTATCATAAAAGTTCAACAAGAGAACTATAGCCCTGAAATATCTTTGTATTACGTGATACCCAACAATAATATTGTGGACGATGACAATTATCTGCAAAATGGCGGTAATGATATAACTGAATTGATCACAGGTCCCATAAATTACCCCGAGGATCCTGATACCGACAATCTTGAAGCAACTTTGGAGATAATAAATCAAGGTTCCAATTCACAATATACTAGGACTTGCATACTGAATTTCGTAACAGAAAAACAATATTTATTAAAACTAATAGAAGTATTCAAAAAATCGGAAGAGTCCAAAAACTTGATGAACTTATATTCATTAAGTGAAATAGTGAAAACATTGATATTATATAATGAAGCTCCGTTGATTGATGACTTTTTGTCGAGCGAAGACAAAATATTAGGTCTCGTGGGGATATTAGAGTACTGCCATGAGTACCCGAATTTTAAGGCCTGCCATAGAGACTTCCTAAAGGACAAATCCAAATTCAAGATTGTCGTTGATATACCGGTAAATGATGATGCTGGTAAATTAAACATGTTTAAGAAGAATTTCCATTTAAACTTTTTAAAAGATGTCGTTCTCGCAAGATTCTTAGACGATCAAACATTCAATTTAATATCATCACTAATATATTTTAATCAGGTTGAAATAATCAAATTCTTGCAGGATTCAAGGAATAATGATAATTTTCTAGAGAAGTTATTCAAAATTTATGAAGAAGATGATAAAATAGAAATGAAACGAGATGGGGTAAAGATGTTGCATCAGTATATATTAATTGCAAAATCTTTACAATCATATCAATCTGAATTTTTTTCAACATTGGTGAAGTCAGGATTATTCAGTATGATTCGCTTTGCATTACAGGATACTGAAAATACAATAAGAGTATTGGGAACTGAACTCATAGTTGTAATTATTGAACTGGATGTTTCTCTTGTTAGTTCTATTGATAAGGACGAGACAATAGACAACAGCGATCCCCCTGTTAATATATCTAATGATGATATTAATATTGACCACGATGAAACTATAATAGAATCAAAACCGTTGAAATTAAATTTATCGGATGACATGACATTGATATTAATTCTATCAAAATTATTGGTTGAAGATAAAAACTCAGGTTTGAAAATGCAAGCATTTGAAGCATTAAGGATTTTACTTGATTCAAACATAGCGAGAAATGCTGCTAGCAGTAATAGCGACCTCAATCATTTAAAGAATGAATTCAATTCCTTGAATAAACAGCAACACGATGAAAGCATCTGTAATACTTCTGAAGAATGTGCTGATATTAATACGAATAATTATTTTAAAGCTTTCTATTCTCAAGCTGCCCCAAATTTGTTTGCGAACTTAATTGATCTAGCTAAAGAGGATACGAACAATGATGAAATAATAAGAAGAATCACAGGGGATGAGCTACTTTGTCAAAACCTTTGTGATTTAATAATAGCTTGTACCAAAGAACATGAGGTTCCTATTTCTAGACCTTTCTTCTTAGAGAATAACGTATTATTGGGTGTTGCTAAGATACTTGCAATTAATACCAAGACAACCCTAAAGCTAAGTGCTATCAGATGCTTACGAAACGTGATTTTGTTGAATGATAACTTTTATTCTCGTTACGTTGTCAGTAATGATATCCTATCATATTTCATGGGGTTCTTTAAGTCCATTTCTAATCAAAATAATTTGGCCAATTCGGCATGCTTGGATTTCCTCGAAGTAATCTTGAAAAATTGTGATGCCACAATAAATCATGGAAAAAGACAAAATTTCAAGCTTTATGCTACGTACCTATATAAGAACTATAAACAGTTCTTCCAAGATGAAATTAATTATGTTACAATAGGCACAGATCTTATACTCATAGTCGAAAGTGGTTTCTATGATAATAATAATATCAAGAATGCTTCAGGTCCAGATACGAGCTTCAATTCCGAGGACGAATATCTAAACAGACATAATGCATCGACGCCAATAAAACACGATGACGATAATGGATATAAAATTGAGCACAAGCCATCTAATGGGCCTTCTAAGCCTAATAATTTGTTTGAAGATATTGAAAAGGACATGGAAAGTAACATGCTAGCTAATGGCGAAAAAAGACTCCGTGAGAATGATGAAGAAGATGAAGAAAGTAATTCTATTCTACAGGAAAACGACAATGGTTCTGCTTCGAATAATATACTAGGGTCTGCAGATCTTGAACCTGGTCGAGGTAAAAAGAAGTTGTCTACTAGCATAAGAAAGAAATTCTCCAATGCTGGTAAGGAAATAGCCTTAAGGTTGAGGTCTACCAGTACTAATACTAATAACCACAACAACAATATATAAGCCGGTAACTAATAGATATATAAAATACATATTGTGCACCATAATTCCACTAAAGCGTAGTAGTTCGGTCTCCGGATTCTCTTTAACCTCGGTGCAAACGTATCGCGGGGTTGAAGAAATTAAATCATATATATATATCCATATTTTTCCTAGAAGTAAGAGGCGTAAACGTAAGACAAGATGGGTTTAGATCAGTCATTTGTAACTAACGGTTCTTGGAAACCAGATTTGTTCAAGGGGAAGGTTTTGTTTGTTACTGGAGGAGCTGGAACAATATGCCGAATCCAAACCGAAGCAATGATTCTTTTGGGTGCTAACGCAGCTATAGTAGGTAGAAGCCCAGAGAAAACTAAACAGGCTGCCAGAGAGATGGATGAATTGAGACCAGATTGTAAGGTTATTGCATGTCCAAATACTGATGTTAGGGATGTACACTCGATTGCGAAAGCTGTGGAGAACACAGTGGAGCAACTAGGAAGAATTGATTTCGTTATTGCCGGTGCCGCAGGTAACTTTTTGAGTGATTTCAACCATTTGTCAAGCAATGCGTTTAAATCCGTGGTTTCCATCGACTTATTGGGTTCTTTCAACACGGTGAAAGCTTGTTTCGAGCAATTAAAGAAAAACAAGGGTTCGATAATCTTTGTTAGTGCCACATTGCACTACTATGGTATTCCATTTCAAATCCATGTGGCTGCTGCTAAGGCTGGGGTTGATGCCTTATCCAATGCATTGGCC